CGGAACTAAGTTCACATTCACGCATTAGGCCGGTTGCTCAGCGAACCAGCGTCCCGTTAGCCGTCACTACTGGCGCTGGCATTGGAATCGTCGACGACTTGCTGTTGGCCCTCTGCACGTGCTACGACTCGCATTTTACCGTTGTACTTGGAATACCATGGACGTGGGTGCTTTCAAATATTTTCTGGATTATCGCGAGTGAACACGGAGGGTGGCCTCGCACCGCATTTGATCCAGACGTGTTGCTTTTGTCCTCTTCGGTCTTTTTGCCAGTTAAAACTATTCACCATTGCACACGATGATCTATGCTGGTTCGCTACCACTGCAAATCCTACGCGATGTTTAGATCTTTCAAATGTGCCCCCTGGAGGATGGTTAATTGGCGAGTCCTTTCCTTCAATAGATTACGCACCCCACGCATGTAAACATATTTTTTTACCATATACGCTCCATGGGAGAGTGTCACTCAGAGGTGCGCGCATTTATTGCAGCAACTGTGAGGAATAAAATGTGAACTGATTGATAATTATATTGTTGCAAATAGAGCTGGAAAGTAATCGGCGACCTTTTGTTGTGGTCGATTACTTGGGCCCCTTTAAGACAGGCTGCCCCCCACCCACCCACACATCACGCCTCATCAAAGGCAGGAGACCCCTACACGCCACGTCCAGCGTGAGGCTGCTGATGACATCGGCAAGCCCTGACTAACGCCTCCCATCCAGTGGCACATGTGGGAACAGAGGTGAGACTTTTTCCCCAACAATTTTCGTGTTGTGCAATTTGTCAAGTAATCGAACCAATAAGTGGTAGTTGAATCGATTACTTAAATAATCGGATATTTCCCAGCCTTCGTTAAAAAGAAAAGTTGTATATATATTTTTTAAAGACCTCTAGTCGATAGTTAAACTAATTTGTTTGTGGTCTATATGGTGTTTAAACTGTTTTGCGTGTTTGCTTTTAATGGCCCTGCTCAATGTATGTTAATGTTCAGTACCAGTTGTGTCATTTGCAACAGCAATTATATTTCGATGTAAAGCTTTCGTGACTGCAATGATTCATCTTCTTTGGTTCTTTCGGTAAAGTCACGTAGAATGAGAATAAAATAATAAATTGATAAAATAAAATAACACAATAATATTCTCACGACGTTTCGGCCACAACACAAGCGGCCTTCATCAGGTGAAGGACGAGTCTCGTCAATTTATTATTTTATTCTCATTCTACGTGACTTTACCGAAAGAACCAAAGAAGAGCAATTATATTTTTTGCATGTGAAACAACGAACCCTCTGCCATGCATTTATAAAATCACCAGGGCTGTCCAATTTTGAATTTCACGGCAAATTTGTACCATGGGCGTGGCACATTGTGGCCTCTGTTTTGGGAAACAATGCTGCAGACGTTTTGCCCACGTTACAGCCACCCCCCCATGACGTTGGACAGGAGGCTATGCAATTACGCATCTAATCCCCTCAAGCGAATCTCATGACAAGCATAGGATCCATATTCTCTCAGTCGTTCAGTGCAATTGACTGACGGGTTTTATGCACAAACGACTTTATGTTTAGGTTAAGCTGAGCTTGGCACTTGGCCAAGTATTGCATGTCCCATATGCTGCCACATCCTTATTTGACTCTGAAGCTCGTCTTACTATGGACGAGGGCTGTTTATTTTGGAAGGAAACCAGCTGGAAAAAAATGGGAATTAATTTAATGATATTGCAACCATTATAACTTTTCCAAGAATGTTTTCCTCAGTTATAGTTGAAGGTATTCATGTTGAATATATAAGATCCTTGTTGCACTGAGTTGAATCATTCTGCTTAAGCATTGCACTTTCTGCAAGATCCATTCTTTATACAGTAATAACCTTCTAGGAATCTATTGTGGGCACCTGTTAAACATTCCCTTAAAGCTTGCAGAAACACTAGGGACAGAAAGTGTGTTTTTTTGACAGGCATTATTTTTTGCCAGTCTTCTAAAAGCAACGGATTGTAACAAATGCAGATGATGTCACAACTACAGCAGTGTCTGTGTCATTTCCATTATTTATTGTGATTCCGGTGCCCAACGGCTGGGGCTATTCAGGCTGGCCCCAGGGTGTTCATGATCTCCTTTGCTCCATAGTCCATTTTCTTGTTTCTCTCACCTTGCCTCACTCATGATTCTCTCTCTTCACATGCCCCCCCCCCCACACACTTCCCTCAAAGCCACATTCCCACTCAGCCTCCCACCCCCTCTGCACCCATAGCCCAGTCTCCCGGAGCTATTGAACCACATGGGACCTCAGACATGCCTTTATCTAACCTCTGCACTGGGGTAAAATTTCAGTGTATATGGCAACTTTGGTATTGGCTGGGTCTACCAAAGAAAGGCCTTATATGGTAACATAGAGGAGGGTGATCAATGCAGGGCCAACAGAACTGAGGCTTTCTTTCACAGCATTGATTTTTTGTAGATTAGTCAGCTGCCCGCATATAATATAGTGATGCATACATGCTCATTTTTTTCTCTCCATCGCAGTTGTTTTCAACAATGCTAATATGGTTATTGTAACAGAAAGTTATTTATCTGAGCTTGCTGTGGTTTTCACACCTGATGATGATTGCTTGTGTTGCAGTCGAAACGTCGTGATAATTGTATTGTTTTATATTTTTATTATTTTATTGTTTCCCTTCTACGTGGTGACTTTACCGAAAGAACCAAGAATATGAATCCCTGCAGTCACGAAAGCTTTAAATCAAAACTTAACTGACAAGTTAAACCTTCTACATCATTAGACCTCCTTTGCCAGTACCAAAGTATAATAGGGTTTTTCCCCTTTTTTAACTTTTTTCTGGCAACAAAACTGAAACCTTTTTACAAGGATTCGTGTCTGCATTAACCACAATACTTGTGGTCAAAATGAAAAAAAAAACACTCTGATAATATATGCATTGTCCTTGAAACTTATTGGTCCACACCAGAGAAGTTTTCTTTTGAGCCTCGTCTCAATTGGTGCTTACCCCGAGCCCTCGTTACTTTGATAGTGGATTGTCTTTGAGCTATACGCCTTTTGGCGTCCTCTGGTCGAGCACCAGTTGAGACGAGGCTCAAAAGAAAGCCGTCCCTTGGTGTGGACCAATCAGTTTCAAGGACAATGCATATATTATCAGAGTGTTTTTTTTTTATTTTGACCACAAATATTGTGGTTAATGCAGACATGAATCCTTGTAAAAAGGTTTCAGTTTTGTTGCCAGAAAAAAGGAAAAATAAAATGGGAAAAACCCTATTATTATACTTTGGTACTGGCAAAGGAGGTCTAATGCTGTAGAAGGTTTAACTTGTCAGTTAAGTTTTGATTTAAAGCTTTCGTGACTGCAGGGATTCATATTCTTGGTTCTTTCGATAAAGTCACGTAGAAGGGAAACAATAAAATATAAAACAATACAATTATCACGACGTGATAATTTTATTGTTTTATCTTCAGTTATTGTTTTATATTCAGTTAAACCTTGGTTGTGTTTAAATTCCCACTTGCGTGTGTGACTGCAAAACAAGCGAGTGCTATGCACTTTACTGCTTTGTTGATTGAAAAAAAAAACCATCCTAGACTTCAGCAGCATAATTGAGATTCACATTCTTCAACATTTTCAGACGCGTTAAAAGAAGCAGTGTCGGTTAATTATAAACATGAACAAACATCGTCCTTCAGGGAGGTTGGAGATTGATTAGCGTGATGAACCTAGAGCATGATCAGTACTGTTGAGAGGCTGACTACACACAGATGCGCTCCGCAACTCAATCTCCGCACAACAGTGAGCGCAGCAGCACAGAGACTACTCTTTGGTTCTTTCGGTAAAGTCACGTAGAAAGAAATTAAATTTAATAATAATAGAAAACGACGTTTCTATTGCAACACAAGCAACCGTCATCAGGTACAAATGAATGAGAGAACAAACATAGTAAGCTTTGAAATGTAATGCAATGCGACACAGAGAGTCGGCCAACACAACAGTCAACTCCCCACCCGGTTGATTAACGTTCTTCCAAAGATTGCTAAATTTGAGAGAGAGACAAAACATAGACACGGAGACACACAGACAGACACAATTTAATTTCTTTCTACGAGACTTTACCGAAAGAACCAAAGAGTAATCATTCTTGCAGTCACAAAAGCTTCGAATCTAGCACAGAGATTGTTTGTCGCAGAGGAAGCTATTTGTTGTTTATTGGTTGTTTTACAAGTTAATAGAAAGCAGACAACTTAAATGCTGTGTTTGCGCAATAATATCTTAAGACTGAAAACAAATCTTGCATTTGATATTTTTTGTATCCAGCATTTCTCCAGGATTAATACAGATTTTGATTCTGATATATATCTGTAGTGAATGATCATAAATTGTTCATGTTGAGACAGGTCGACACTTTTTTTCTGCATTGACCCATCTGGAATGGTCAGCCTTTGAAATCACAACTGCTTGCGTTATATTGCGTTGCCTGCAGTTGGATGTGGCTTTTTGAATTGCGTTTCGTTGAGGCTTCACAGAGCATCTGATCCCATCTCTATGCCCTAACATTGGATTGTCAAGCAGAAGGGCAAATATTTTGAGTCCTGTGGCATTGACCAATCAAGGGGGCTTAGGATTTGGATCACTGTCGGCCCGATTCACATTGAGTTTGCTTTCACGCTTTCATGGAATTCTATCTTAAACCGGAAATTTCACAAAAACGATTCTACCCAAATTCATAGAGTTCATGGCCCATGGCTAGACAGAAGCCGCCGCTGCGAGGATGACCGGAGTTCACGTGATGTTTCATGCTCCTTGGCGAGATCAGCAAGGTATTGTGGTTAATTTGTGGCAAGCGCGTTGTGTGTAACGAGTGCGACCTCATAATGTATGCATTTTGAACTCTTTTCGCACAGTATATGGCCAACCGTGCGAATCGGAGGTGCGGTGGGGACAGGATAACACACTTGTTAGAGGAGCTCGTTGTGGGCGGATGTGCGTCTGTGTTTCAGAGGTCAGCAAGTACGTGATGTCTTACGTGGCTGCCGTGTGCGGCAAAGGCGAGGAGGTGAACATGGTGAAGGAGCAACTGCTGCAGTCCAACCCGGTCCTCGAAGGCAAGTCCACTCACACGGTTCCCAACGCACCCTTCAGCAGGGCACGCACCATGGACCTGTGCTGTATATGCACAGTACAACTTCGCATATCTGACCGTCACATGTCCATGCTAAGCAATAAATCGCCCCCCCCCCCTCCACGCATTGCAGTATTAGCCCATGGTGGTGTAACTGTCACGTTCCATAGACGTTCACAAACGCAGCCATTTACATTCAGCGGTGTGTTATTAGTCTCGCGTGCAGTCACTTTCAAGCAGTTTGCGCTTTGTTTTTGCCTGGTAACCTTTTTGGTGCATGGTGGTGTTACTGTAATTTTCGATAAATGTTCACGTATCCAACATTTTTGCTTATCCACCTATACCCGTCCCCAGTCAGTCGCACCTCCGATTAGCATGGTTGGCTATGTACGGTGTGAAAGAAGTTCAGCATACATACATTACAAACGGGTCGTATACCCGATGTTACGTCAGTATGGATAGCAGAGTCAACATGGATAGCACTGTTGTACATATATGGAATTCATACCACATGGGGCTAAAACAGAATCAGAATGTTTCTTTGGACTGGAGGAATCTGATAAGCTATGAAGCTCTCTTTTACAGATGTCCAGTCGGGGTGGGTCAGCAATCCGGTATGGGCGGGTTAGCAAAAACATTAAATTATCAAAACCTGAATACATGAGAATGTAATTTTATAATAGCACAGTGTCCTTTTAATCATTTTTATGACTTGGTCTCTTGACGAAGGCATTGCACCTCCAAGGGTTCTGACAATGTATTTATTAAATGTCCCCTTCCTTACTCTGTTCATCTCTAGAGGGGCTTTTTAGAGCTCCCCCCTACTAGAGGGGCGTGGGAGCGGCGGCCCTCCTGCCAACAGTGACTTGAGCGAGAAATTTCAGCCCTGCGCTTTTACCTTTTTATCCACCTTTACTTTTTGTCAATCAACAGAGTAGTAGAGTATTTTCAGTGACCCTAACGAACCGCCCCTGAGCTTTGTGCACAAGTGCGAGAGCCCTCCAGTGTACTGGCCTCTGAACCCTTGACTTGCGAGCCCTGGGCCATCGTACAGTTGTATGGGGCATCAGCGACGCATCGCTCGGCTTCAGAGCTGATGCCAGGCTGCCCGTTGTTCCCTCGTGCTGTTCGACTCTGGAATTCGCTGTTATCGATTGCATCTCTGCAAGTGTTGCTCGTTTGCTGGCCGTTTGGCATTTTGGGCCTTCGGCTCTGTGCTCAACAATCGTGTTTAAAACCATAATCCGCAACATACGCTTCCCTGTTATAAAATTACAACTTCTCATGCCGTCCGTGCTATTTAGATGTACATTTTTTTTTAATACGCCCAGCAGTGAGATGAACTTATTTGATATTTAGTTATGCATGGGGGCAATTGCTGTGTTCTGATGTTCAACACAGCCAGCAATTAATTTGCTTCATCGCATGGTACCAGGTTTTGGTAGTATGGAAAAGATACAAATTCCCATCACACCACTTAAATTTTAATTACAAGTCTATGAACAACACCTTTTTTGTAAGTGTTGTGAAATTTCAAGTAGAACACTGCACGGAACACCCGGATTGATGGCGTCCTCAGTTTACCGTTGGTGGTGGCTACTGCTCGTGTTTTAAATGAGCCGAGTCGTGCAGGAGATGATCCTTCCTAAAGGTGGTTATAGTGGTGGCTGCGTGGGTCACAACTCTCGCTGTGTGCTGCATATGGTGGTGTTTTATAGCCCCAGGGGCATAATGTGAACCAAGTTACTGCTGGTCTCCAGCAAGGTCATTTTCCTGCAACTTCCTCATACTTCTCGCATCTCATTGTTGTCAACAATGATGTCATGAATCCTGTTTCGGCCCTGTTATTAACCAAGGGAATGAGCGATTGTTGACATTTAACTTAAGTCAATTTAGATCTTTCATGTCACACCAGGTACTTGTGTTTGGAAGATCAACTTTGGGAGGCCTGTTTTTATTTTCAATTTCAGCTCATCACAAATGAGCTTGATTGCAAATCATCTTTAAAAAAGAACATTGCCACATCTGTTTTGTCACTGCTTTCAGTCCATATATATTTTTAATTGAAGCAAATGAAAACATCCTGTAAGCTAAAATAGTAAAAAAATTTGACACATTATTATAGTTAAAAATTTCAACCCATTGCCAATCCACTGCTGGATGAAGGCCTCCCCACGCCAGGTCGGTTGTGCGGGATGTTTGACCGCACTCCACCGTGCTGATCACTGCACTTTATAGTGCACTGTGCCAATAACTGCACCACCACTCCCTCCATATTTCGTTATTTATAGCTTTAAACATCATCGCAGTTACCCACCTATTGGATAAGTCAAAGGGCTAAAGTCAAAACACCTTGACAAAACATGAAAATGGAGCACTTTAAGTTTGCTTTTAGTGTGCATTTTAAACCAGTGGTGGAAATTCCACATTCCTATGACGGGGGGTATCCAGATGACAACCGATGTTTATTTCCCGAAAATTTATGCTGGCTGTATTGACCCCGGAGTGTTTTAAATGAGTAAACCCAAAACCAGTATTTTAAACTTTTGAACTCGCATCCATCCAAATGTGAGACGCTCCCTCAATCACTGTTCCACCACCTACCATTGCCAAAAGTTGCGCCGTATTCGAATCTCACATTGTTACTGTGTGTGGCCACTGTCTTCCAGCGCATCTGTGGCTGTGCATGAATGCCTCTTCAGGCCCTAGCATCGCCATTTTCCAGAGCCACACACTTGCCTCTCGTGCGTGCACGCTCGTGTGATACACTTAGGAGCAGGCAGCTTGGTCATTGTACCTGCCTTTGGATTCTGCCACGCTCGCACGCCAGGTACCACCTTTGCACTTTGCTGACGGCCACGCCTAGCAACTGCCTGGTGCCCTATGCTTTAACGACATGCAGGAATGTTTTTTTTTACTGTTGTTTTACAGCGTTTGGAAATGCTAAGACCATCCGTAATGACAACTCTTCGCGCTTTGTGAGTATGCCACAATAGATCTGCACGCACGCACGCCGTTACCCGTTTTTTATTACAAGGTTTCAAAGATAAACTAAGAGTGAATGTACGGCAGTTTGGCTCGCAGGACATTCTCCAAAACTGGCTTTAGAGTCTTTTAAAATTAACAACCACATTTGAATACATGACAAATTAGGAGACTCATAGCAGATGTTCTGTGTTCAAATTTTGTTTGTTGCGGTTGCACCCGACTTAAGAGCCGCATGGCTCAAGGGCTATACCTAATAAATGAAACTTGAAAACTTGAATCTGGGACGCCATCGGTCAGAGTGGTTACCATGGACTTGTACGCTTGGGACATAAAACGTTGCTTATGGCCACGATTCATGCACTAAGATGCAGTATAATTTCGAGGCTGTGTAAATCATAATTGTATTGAATTAGATGTGGGCCAATGGAGGTAACCACCCCTCTTCCCCAGCGATGTATCGCCCACAATCCACCAATGACATTCAAAATGCTCGTGTCTGCTGCTAGGCTTCACCTCCATGAGAGTTGCCCTGGCAGCTTTTACATATTTGCTTGGAGTTGATGTCACTATTATCCTACAACTGCACGTCTGTCATTTGTATACGATATATGCAGTTTGCATGCAAATTTCTGAATGAGATATACACTTTAAATACGTTATACCTAATTTTCGTGTCATAAAATACAGCTGCCCTACCATGGTCCACTGCGATTTAAAGAGCTCTATACAATATTGTCCATTTTCTACATATGCCCCTAAAATATATTTCAACCTTAAGCTGTATTATTTGAGCTATGATTATCAATCGTACTCAACCGGGGGGGCTTAGTATCCTTTCTCAATAAGCAATGGTGTACATTGAGTGTCTGGCCCCCAAAAAAAAACGTATACTGGAGGTGCACAGGTTATTTGAACAAATACATTTGACCGCTGCAATGAAGAATTATTTTTTTGCCCTCCTGGTTAAAAAAAAAAACAAGGTCATTGGCAGTTATATTCCCGTGGTCTTCGGTAGTCATCCAATAAGGCGAAGAAATGTGCTCGATCAGTCGAGCATCAGGTCCTGCCAGGGGATGACCCCTGAAGATGTCACCACATAAATACTTTTGGAGTCACTTTAATGGTATTCACTTGGGCAACGCTAATTAGGTTATTTTTTCACGAGTCATTCAACCAGTATGTTTTAATTGTCAGCTCTCTGGGCCCAATGATGTCATGATTTGGTGTCTAGTGAGACCATGAACTCGCAATATTTGAGAACTTGGTTTAATGTCATGTGGTTATTTGGATTAGCACCTGGCCTTATTATAATTATTTATTCTTGTTTACCCAGGAAAGCCTCACTGAGTCTCATAACTTTTTCAAGAGGGGTCCGACCAAGGTTTTTTTTTTCTATTCGGGGGCAATGATTGCTTTGCAGATTCAAATTGAGTAATTGAAGTTTTCAAATTTGGCAAGTGGTGTCTCAGTCTCTCTGACAGGGACATCATTATGACCTCTTTGAGCCACTCGGCCACCACCCCTTTGCCATAGTTTAATGTGACATGCGCTTTTTGTCAGGACGGGGCAATCCGGGCCATGTCACAGGACAGCTTTCAGCCAGCGAGTTAGGAGTGGGATTCCCTATTGAATCCGTGCCATTTGGAAGTGAATTTCAGTGAACAAAATGTTGCTGTGACACCCCAGCTAAAGGGGTTGGTTGTCACTGGATATCGACAGACGCAAACTCCACTAGACTTGTTGAAACTTAGGAGATGGTTAAAGTAGCTTCCTTCATTAATAAACAAATGTGTGACAAATAGACAACCAAGCCTCCATCTAAAAGATGCATGCCCCTCTGCCTGCAATGCTAATTTGTGCTGCGCAGAGCTGCTGTATTTGAATGCTTGCTCATTCCAGTTGAATTCCTAATGGTGGCAGCATAAAAATACGAATAAAAATGAGAAATGTAGTCTAAAATAAAAAAAATATAAGTTTTCACGGAAGTTTATAAATTGCCTACTTCTTTCAGAGTTGCCTGATATAGATGTATTCAGGGACCCTTGATTTAGGGTTAGGGTTGGAGCAATCGTAGACTGATTTATTTGATATTTGGACTATTGTGCCCATGCTGATTTGAGGTTTTTTGGTCCTACTTTAATCAGAATATATTTGTTGATCTGAACACCCGGGTGCTGCTGCAGGGTCCACTTCCTGCCCCGCCTCCTCCCCCCCCTTCTCTCTCCCCCCTACTGACGAGGCCTACTCTATAACCTCGTGCCACGGCAGGCCTCTCGCCTACTTCAGCAGTTTCATTTCTTGCTGTGGTTGTCCCACCTGATGACGATTGCTTGTGTTGCGATCGAAACGCCGTGATCTATTATTATTATTTTTCTACCTACGTGACTTTACCGAAATAACCAAAGAGTTTGGATTCCTGCAGTCACGTGTTTTCTAATTGCATTATTTGCTACAACTTCATATTGACTTGTTTTTTTTTTACACATCTAAATGCTGATGCTGACCGCTCATGAATCCCAAACTGTGTGTGTCCTACAGGGCAAGTACATGGACATTGAGTTTAACTTCAAAGGGGACCCAGTTGGAGGCATCATCCGCAACTGTAAGCCCACAGTGCAAGCGCAACTACTCGTGTAGGCCCCACCACGCAAACACAGCCAGGTCACAATTGTCTCAATACACGCACGTTTCCAGCTTGATCATCTCGACTGTGTCTCCATAGTCACGTGCATAAGTTGGACCTGCAAGTGAAATGTGTACGCGTGAGATCCCATTGTGTCATATGAATAAGAAGCAATGCATACTACTAATCTCATGACAGTGTTTTATACGTATACATTTTGTAAGAAAATATGATTTGCATATCATAGCTTTAAAGAAGGGTCCTGCTCACAATGTATGGCCAGGGGAAATTGAATATCTTCCCAAGTCATCGGAATGCAGTCTTGGGCCACCACACTTGGCTTTATTGAACAACAACTACATTGCAATCAGCCGATTTGTATTATGTTTTATTTGATCGTTAACTGAATCATTGATTGAGCACGCACGCAATCTTCAAGTTGATTTCAGTTTGATGGAAACATTATATACCAAACTTAACTGTTATTCTATAAGGTCATTTAGAATAACAACCCAGCAAAGACGAATTTTTAGACGTTAAAGGTCATCGTTGGTGAATTTGGCGACATTCACTAAGAAGGAGCCAGGGAGCAAGGACACTGGAACCAAACCAGGCAACATAAACTATGGTCATAAATGTGTTATGCAATCATCAACGGAGCTGCGAAAGTAAACATTTCTCAATGTAACAACACAAATGCTCGTATTTATTGTGTAACTATGGCCATGATCAATAGAGGTATTTGCCTCATAGTCAAGCGCTGCTTAAACAAGGATAGCGATCCACGGAGAGACACGCGATTCCTTAGGAATACATGTACACTTATTCTGTCAAATTGAGGCATATTATTTACCTAGGAAGGCCAACGATAACATGTGTTGTCAAGCTATGAAATGTTCATGAAATGCTTTGGTGCCATCTTAGTAATCATGTTGTTACAACATTTGGGGTTCATAATCATGAATGTGCCTGACCCAGACTCGTGTTGATATTTCAAGACAGCCACCGCCATGCCGCTGCTGCCATTTACGCTTTGGCTTTGTTTTAATGAACAAAATGCACGTGGACAATGAACTTCGTCGCTTCGTCCCGCACTAGTATGGCACGCACACAGGAGTGATGCTGGTGCGCCCGACCGGCATTGGAATTCCAAGGCGACGCTTCTGAGTTGTGTGATTGAGCGTGACAGCGTGCCGTGCGTGTGGCAGACCTGCTGGAGAAGTCTCGCGTGGTTTACCAGCTTCAGGGGGAGAGGAACTTCCACATTTTCTACCAGCTGCTGGCCGGTGCTTCCCCAAGCCTTCTAGGTGAGGGTTAGAGGCCAGCGGAGTCTCGGAGGACAGTGCGTAAACGGACCATGAGTAACATTTGAGAAGCCTGGAATGACGAGAGCGTTTTGGGGCAGTGGGAATGTGGCAAAAGAACATGTGGTTTTAAATATTCTTGGTTCTTTCGGTAAAGTCACGTTGAAGGGAAACAATAAAATAATAAAAATATATATTAAACAATAAAATTCTCACGACGTTTCGACTGTAACACAAACAGTCATCATCAGGCGTGTATATATATTATTATTTTATTGTTTCCCTTCAACGTGACTTTACCGAAAGAACCAAGAATATGAATTACTGCAGTCACGAAAGCTTTAAATCAAAATTTATGTGGTTTTAAGTTGAAACTCTAGGAATCCAAACATTGAGTCTGCTATACAGTCATCCTTCACGTAATGCCCCCCCCCTCCCCATAGTGCGGGTTACCAGTTCCGTGATTAATCTTTTATGGATACACGTCACACTTGCGTTATGTGTTTCACAGTTAAGTTCTCAAGAGAAAAAAAATGTTAAGTGTAATTATAAATCTATTTCGCAGGTTTTAGCGAACTAACATTTCAATCTGACGGGGTCACCGCGTCATGAAAGCGCTTAGTGTCACGGACTGGACGTGGTCATCTTAGATCCACTGCCTTTGTTTGCAAGTGCGCTGCTACAAACATCCCACGGAAGAGCTCAAGAAGCCCTGAAGTTACTCCTTATTACGTAACCTTTGTAATGTTATTAATATTAAGTGTAAAATGTATACCTATTTTGTAAATCCAGGGATGCAATAATTAAATGATGGAAATGTTTATTCGCTAACACACCCCCTGATATAACATGTATGTCTATGAGGAAAGAGGCTTCGTACAGTGCGATTCGAATTACGTGCTGTTTTTCAAGTACGCATGTCGCACATTATGCGCGGGACGACTGCACTTATAAAACAAGGCAAACCTTATTAAGCTTTTGTGTCCGTAGATACAGCTTAATTTTAAAACTTACACACATTTCTCGTCAAGAAGTGATAAACCATCACACAAACTCCAGTCATCCTCACAGCGGCTTTTGGCTAACCATCGAACAAAGAGTCGTCATTGCATCGCGCACATTCAGATGTGCTTCTTCGGCTGTTTGGAACTCTCTTCCAAAATAAGGAAGTCGCTGGACCCATGCACTTTTAAATCTTGGTTCAACTGTTCTTAGTGGTTAGAATGTTGACCTTCCCCCGCACCTCCGGTTTGCACAGTTGGCTATGCAGAGTGCAAAATAATTTCAACGTAGATACAAGGTTGGCCGAGTAGCTCAGAGGTCGGAGCACAGAACAGGCACCGTTGAGATCCTCATTTTGAACCTGTGATTAAACCGGATTTTCAAGTGCGTTAAGCTCACGGTCACCGGTCAGGTCACCAATGACTATCAAAAAAAAAACCCCATGTCATTACATTTAGTTTTACACTTAATTTGGCAAGGTTATAGCTCTGATATATATATAAAAATATATATATCACTTGCACTGTCATGCTACAAACTCTGTTCTGTGTGCCAGGGTAGGTGGGAAAGTGTTTAGTTTGTTGATAGGTCGCTGGAAGTCATTTCTTTCTCCGGGTCGTCTGGTTTTTTTCCCTCCACGTTTATAAACATGTGTTTAGACTATTTTGATTATTTGGCTGCTATAAATATCCACGTGATCAGCCACATCGTTGAGCAATCATTTCGGGCCAGGTCGCTTCTGAAAAAGTATCCCAATCGGCTTTATCTGGTCAAATAAAAAACATATTTTTTATTTTTTGCTTCGTGATTTGCTTACCTTTCCTATACGTTGCACACCTATCGTGTTTTTTTTCCTCTCTGACCTGCCCCTGCTGGACATCTGTTACAAAAAAAAGCTTTATAGCTTATCCGATTCCTCCAGTATTAATCAAGATTCGTGTTTCAAGCACAGTTTTTTACGCCATCTCTCGTTCTCTCTGGGGCCCCATTCTTCGAGCGTGGGAGGCAGCGCTGCTCCGCGCGGGTTCTGAACGCGCTCATTGTCTCATCGCACGACGCCAGTAGCATCACGTGACTATGTCCTCCAAATCTATTGCTAATAACCTAACATTATGGTTAAATTTTTTATATTCTATTCTTGTGTATGGAGAAAATGTTCAGGAGCTAAAGGTCATGGTCGAGATCTGCTAGCTACAAGAGGGCCTGAGGAGGGAGTTCGTGTTGTTTGGCTATTCCTCCTCCATTGAAGGAGTGCACGAAGACTACAGTGGTTTACTATATGGTCCATAGTCTTCTTAACGTGGCAATTGAATGTAAGCAAATTGTGATTTACTCTTGAGATGAATTCCAATTGTTAAGCCCGATAATGCTGGATGTAATTACCAGCGAAACGTCGTATTCAAAAATTGTAAATGTTGTGGATTCACTCTTCAACACATCGGTGGGCTAAAGTAGTGAACTATTTGTCCTTTGTCAACGTGACACTTTTTTTCTGATTGGCCGTGTCGGGTGGTGGAGGGTTATGACACATTTATAAATAACGCGATCTAACCCAAACACTTTATCATGAATAATATTGGTCGCGAAAGCCTACGTGTTAAACAGGTTTACGATTGAAGTCGGTCTGCAGTCATATACGGAACTCGACACTCTTGTTGCTTTCCTTACGGTGTTGCGTGCTCTGTATGTCTCCCTTCCCCACAGCATCCCTGAAGCTTCAGCAGAACCCTTCCGTCTACACCTACCTCATGCAGGGCAAAACTGCCCACGTGGAAGGCCTCAACGACAGCCAGTCCTTCCACACCGTGCAGGTGAACCTCGCTCCGGTGGTGAAACTGGGGCGTCCTGTTGCCACGCAAGTTTGCGTCTGAAGGCCGAACTGTGCGACCGTGTCCTCACGGCTTGGTACCGTGCGTTAATTACCAGGAGCTACGCTGGGGTTTCAGTTGACCAGGCGGGTATTTGTATGTTGCCGCCTACCCCGGAGTTTGAGTCCACGTGTCTCCGTCCCAGTGCTCAATGAATACACGTCACCGTTTTGGTGATGCTGTAATTGTTATTGATTTAGAGCTGTTTTCGCTTGTCATCATATTCATTATTTCAATGTAGAAGTGTAAATTCTCAACGCAATTTTTTGTTATTTGATTTGAGCAAAGGGGGGGGGGGGGAAGGCAGTCTTGATTATACGAATACATTTCCTATGTCCTCTCTTTGTGGGCAATGTTTTTTCGTTGTTTATCTTCCCTCACCCCACTTCCCTTCTCTCATGAATTATTCCCCACATTAGTATGCAGCAGTTTCGATAATTGTCTTTGTATAAAATTAGTTTAACTTTCGCATGCTGGTTGCAATGTATTTAATTTGTGCGCATACATAATATAAAGCGCTGCTGGATGAAGGTGTCCCCCATGCTCTGTGAGTCATGGGGGTTGTGTGAACATACTTCAGCAAGCTTGGTCAGTGCGGGTTTATGAATTCTGTGAGGAGGGGTGTAAATGCAAAATGTACCTTGTAATTGTGTGGATGAGAAACCGATTGTTTATTTCATATCGTATTGAGGGTTGCAAAATGAGGTGAGATTTAATATTCGCAGTCTCCTCCAGGAGTACCACGGTGGTGGAATGTTTGTTTCACCTCTGATTTACTTTCTCAGTTAAAACACTGAACGTCAAAATGTGGCTCGATCAGTTGATGCGGAGTCACAGCTCTACAAACACTGTGCCGATTAAATGTTACTTTTTGAAGGCAACCTTTAAATATAAAACGTTGATGATATTCTGGCCCCACGCATGGTACCACTGGATGTCATCCTAATGTTGTTATTGCGCCAGAATCCTGCCTTGCTATGTAGCTTAACACACTTAAACTTGAAATCCAGAGGTTGCCGGTTTATTTTCTCGGTTCAGCGGTTGAAGCAATGGATCGAGTTTCTCAAAGCCCCACACCTCTTATTCACCGAGCAGTATAAATGCGTATGTCGCAATTGATTAATTGGCAAGGAGAATTGGGAGTTGTCAGTCTGGCCTGCTTGGAAGAGTAGGCCAATATCCTCTGGAGGTCTCTAGAGCTCCCTCTAGTTGGGGGCCCTTTCCCCAGCAGTGACGTGAGGAAGAAACTTCAGGGCTGCACCTGTACCACTCACCTGGCCAGGTGGTATCATGGTCAGAGCACGTGACTTGCAACTGGGAGGTTGTGAGTTTAATCTTCCATAATAGAGGTTTAATATAAATATAAATGTATCGTTAAACCCGCCAAAAATTAATAAGGTAAGGTTTGTCACTTTAAAAAAAACATGCCAATGCATTCCTAGTTCAGCACACCGGTGTGTAATTCGAGTACGACGTTTTGCCAGTAATTAGCTGTGTCGGGTGGTGGCGGGTTTAACGACACATTCATGTTTACACGATCTAACCCAAAAAACCTCTTATGGATAATATTTGTCACGAAAGGCTACAAGTTTAATCTTGGTTGACGAGTCCACATACCTCTTAATCATTCTGTGGTAAATAAACAATGATCACTTATTTGGGACTTTAACAGAGGTTGTTCTATGCAGAGGCCGACTCCTAAATTAATGTGTAATTTCCACCACTGGTTTTAGGGGCATGAATGGCTGTGAGCAAATTATGTATGCATGTTGAACTTCTTTCGCACCGTACATAGTCAATGGTGCTAATCGGAGGTGCGGGAGAAGGACAAAAAACTAAACACAAAAAGCAGTTGTCAAGAAATTAGTTTTCAACCACCCCATGCTGGTGGTATTTGACCATGGAAAACACTGCCACTTGAACCTTAACGTGCGTGAACGTGGATTCTCAACAGAAAGCCATGCAGGTGATTGGCTTCTCTGACGAGGAGATAGCCACAGTATGGGAGGCATTGGCCGTTGTGCTCAAGCTTGGGAACATCGTGTTCGTGGACATCCCGCGCACCAATGGGCTGGACGAGTGCACGTTCAAGGAGTCCAAAGGTAGTTTGTTTGCACGACACTTGAATACAAACAGCGTGCTGTGTCGAGTGTCTACCTGCCATGTTGAAGGCGTTTGGAATGACATTCAGTACACCCTTGTCGAGTCTGGTGGCCCAGTTTTAGCTAATTTGTTGACTACTTTAGCTTTGCTTGGCATTTGTCTATCTGAGCCTTACCATATCTGAAAAAGCGGCAATGGGGATAGAGTTTCCGACTCACAATCAGAAGGGTTGCGAGCTCAAGCTCTAGTCGAGGGTCATCCCAACCTGTCAGCATCTCTATTTGGTTGGCAAAACAAGGGCCGCTGTGTGTGAAGTCAACACTGGTTGTCCCTTGCAGGCAGGGGATGCTACCATTCAAAAATGTACCTCTGACTGAGGGACTGCCTATAGAGATGAGCAGTGGATAAATGCTTCTTTGAGCATGTGAACACTTTTTGAAACGTTGACCCAAACCCAGCAGCAGCTGAGGATAGATAGACTAAGCATTGCTCAGCTTGGCGTTGCGTACCACCACATCATTGACCAAATATGACACGTTCCACCACTATTGAGTCGTGACGAAGCCAACATGGTGGCATGGAGCATCGTATCAACAAGGCTCGATTATTTCAACTCACTACTCTACGGGATGTCTGGCAAAAAATATTACCTCGCTGCAGTGTGTACAAAATTCCCTGGTACGTGTCGTGACTGTAACTGCAAGATCCAACCATGTCCTTTCAGTGCTTGCCGAGCTGCATTGGCTTCCGGTTTCCTGAACGAATACATTATAAGGTTGCACCCATTACACACGAAGTGCTTGCCACAGATGAACCACAATACCTTGCTGATCGCGTTGGAGAGCATAAACCATCACGCGAACTCTGGTCGTGCTTGCAGCAGCTTTTGGCTAGACATTGAACAAAGTTCGGTCACCGCATTGCACGCTTTCAGATGCGCTGTTGTGGAACACTCACTTGAGCTATGCACTTTTAAATCTAGATTGAAAACTCACGTCTTTATAGCTGCTTTTTTCGTTTAGTTTGTTGTCCTTCCCCCGCACCTCCGATTGGCACGGTTGGCTACACACGGTGCGAAAGAAGTTCATCGTACATACACACGTACATGGAAATGCCATCCCTGTTTGGCTGAAGCATGCTCTCACTTGCATCAACATCCCCCCACGAGGCCACCAGGAGGATGATGTCCGTTGGTGCTCTTGTGCAGAATTGGACGAGGTGTGTGCTCTGTTGGGACTGGACGACGAGCTCCTTGAAAGGGCGCTCACAAAGCGAACTGTGGAGGCTAACAAGGAGAAAGTGTCGACGACGCTCAACATGGCACAGGTACTTGAGGCCACGGCGGCCGAGGGCTGCGCAGAGTCACGCTATGCTCCGCGCGGTGACGGTCACGGGGCGGATTCGTAAGCGCGCAGGGATGAAAACTATAAGCTATTAAGCAAAACTACATTTTATTTTTCGATTTAAAGCTTTCGTGACTGCAGGGATTCATCGCGTAGAATTGAAATAAAATAATAAAAATAAAACATAATAAAATAAAGCGCTGTCTTCCCGACAGTGCTGTCTCTTCACCTGAGGAAGGCTGCTTGTGTTGTGGCCGAAACGTCGTGAGAATTTTTATATTTTATTATGTTTTATTTTTATTATTTTATTTCAATTCTGCGTGACTTTACCGAAAGAACCAAGAAGAAAAAAACTACATTTTATTTTACTAGGTAAGGCCCACTGAGTTATATAATAGTTATTTTTCAGAAGCGACCTGGCCACAAATGAAAAGCTCAACGAAGTGGCTTATGATGTGGGCATTTATTGCAGCCAAATAATCTAAATGTATGTTAATTCTCAGTGCGGAGGGAGAAAACCGGGGGACCTGGAGAAAAATCTATGCGATCACAGGGAGAAAGACATACACACTCCAAATATATAGGTGTCAGGGTCGGGATTGAACATATGACATCCTGTATACCAGGCGAGGTAGTTAACATCTCGCCACCGTGGCACCCACTGTGGACCCTGCGCTGTGGGTTTTGGTGTTGTAATAGTCTCTGTAGTTTTATCTGTACTGTTTATTTGTGTGCTGTTTGAATTGCCTTCCATTGCTGTAGACTTGATGTATTTGAACAAAATTACTTCAATGGTTTTAAGTCTATGTGTCTATTAAATGTGTAGAGGTGTTAACTACGCGCTGTTGCGTAACCTGCATTGCCACCAGGGCAGTGCAGCATTACCCCTGGGTACAACGGTTGGGGTCAGTCGAGGTGAAACGGATCGTGGCCAGGGTTTGGTGCGAACCAATCAGACGGTTCCACGTGGGAATGTATGATTGGTTCTACCTGGCCACGAAGGGGTATAAGACGGGTGACCCAACGGACCTCGGGGAGTTCTCTCCCTGCACGAAGATAGAAGACTGGGCTGAAGCCTAGCTAGGACCCTGGACCAGCCTTTCAGCCCTTCTAAGGGCTAAGGCTCGGCATACCCAGTGGTCAGGACCCACCGGGCCAGCGGTGGGTCAGATAGCCTCCCCTAGGTCCTAGCCGGAGGACTAGGATAGCGGTAGACGTGTGAGTCCCGCCAAGTCCGGAGGTTGTACCTCCTTAGGTATCAAGGAGGTTAGCGGTAGACGTGTGAGTCCCGCCAAGTCCGGAGGTCAGTTGTAGTGTTGTAAGGACGAGCAGACTTCTTTAGGAGGCACACTCTGTTTATTGTATTATTTCCTTATACAACGCTTAACACACAGAGGGATATTCGGTCCCCTCACCCGATACCCTAGGGAGGTACAGCCTCCGGACCTGGCGGGACTCACACGTCTACCGCTAACCTCCTTGATACCTAAGGAGGTACAACCTCCGAACTTGGCGGGACTCACACGTCTACCGCTATCCTAGTCCTCCGGCTAGGACCTAGGGGAGGCTATCTGACCCACAGCTGGCCCGGTGGGTCCTGACCACTGGGTATGCCGAGCCTTAGCCCTTAGAAGGGCTGAAAGGCTGGTCCAGGGTCCTAGCTAGGCTTCAGCCCAGTCTTCTATCTTCGTGCAGGGAGAGAACTCCCCGAGGTCCGTTGGGTCACCCGTCTTATACCCCTTCGTGGCCAGGTAGAACCAATCATACATTCCCACGTGGAACCGTTTGATTGGTTCGCACCAAACCCTGGCCACGATCCGTTTCACCTCGACTGACCCCAACCGTTGTACCCAGGGGTAATGCTGCACTGCCCTGGTGGCAATGCAGGTTACGCAACAGCGCGTAGTTAACACCTCTACACATGCTTTAGAGACACGTGTTGTGAATTGCACATTCTGTTTCACACGTAGGCTTTCACGACCAACCCAAAAAACCCCTGTATTATTTACGCGATCTAACCCAAAAAAAATCTGTATAATGAATTGCACATTCTACTTGATAATGATGATGGTTAATTGATTGGCGCCGGTGTTGATTGTGTTTCATGATCTTCTTTCACATGGCATGTAAGCAACAGTTTGTATAGATGGCATAGTTTCAATGTCAAGGTCCTTCAACCAATACAAGGCAGCAGTAAATGCTTCAATATGATTGTTAAAAGGCCTAGGAAGTTTGTCCGGCCATTTTGTCTCAATGTACAGGTTTCCCTCGCTCTAGGCGGGTTCGGGTTAGTGCAATTTCCTGTATATATGGCTAAGCTGTTCTTACCCAATACAGTAAACTATCCGTATTTGACTGACGGAACAGTTAACAGTAAAAGCCTTTTAATGTATTAAACTCATCCATATGCAATGTTTAATGATTTAACAAGACAGTGAATTATTATTCTTATCAGTATGCCGAGTTGTAGGCAGTTTCATTTGTTTTTGTAGTTTGATGTGTTCTGTCTCTCAGCGTGAAGACGTGAACACGTGATAGCTCGTTTAATTAGTGTTGGAAGATGGAAATGAGAGCTGATTCATATGATACCTGTAAACATACCTAAGTTTGTGCATATCTCTTTTGGTGTGAATCCCTTAGTCAGCTGACAATGCAATCGCATTGCTATTAACACATGCCTGTGCGTGTGTGCATCTGCATTCGTGTGGTGTATTTACTGCAGGGAAAATATGCACGGGATGCCCTTTGCAAAAACCTCTACAACCGACTGTTCAGCTGGTTAGTGAGTCGGATCAACGAGAGCATCAAGGTAAGGGCTCTCCTTGTTGTTCTCCGTTATCCCCTCTTGTGTAAATGAACAGTAATGGACAATTCCATTGGTCAGATAGCTAATGAATGACACTATCGTCCAACGTGCTGAATGTGTCACCAAAGTCACTGCCCTCAGCTCTGAAACTGAAACAATTCCTCAACGCCACGTTGTTGCGTGCAGCTTTTTGCATTTAAGATGGCTCTTCGATGGCCAATTGAAAACACGTATCTTATATTTATATAGCGCCTTTATGCAAGGCGCTTTACACGGGTTATGCATGGTGCGATGAGAGTAGCTACAAGTTTTATGGTGAACAGGGATGGGGTATGCGGAGGGGGAGGTTAGTGGGTGCGGGAATTACGGTGGGTACCTAGGGATGGACGGGCCAGGGAGAAGAGGTGGGTCTTGAGCGAGGAGCGGAAACTCGACAGTGATGGTTGCTTGCTGCTTAATGTGGAGGGGAAGTTTGTTCCATTGCAAGGGGGAAAGTAGGGAAAAGGAGCGGAAACTGAGATTGTCCACAAGGAGAGGGGGGGGGGGACGGTTAGGAGTAGGAGAAGAGATTGAGAGCGGAGGGGACATAAAACGAGACAAGGGGGAAGCGATATCCTGTGGGGCATATGAGACAGACAGAGGGTACATAACCCTTACGGATATTTATATTTTATTCGTTTTAATTGCTCGCAATTGTGGGCTTAATGGCTGCATTCATTATCTTGAAAGCAACATCGATGCTGAAAGGACATTGTACATCTATGCATACTTCATCCAGCAGTCTCTCCCTGCTAAAATTAGCGAAGTGGCAGCCATTGTATGGGGTGCTCTTGAGTGAATTGTTGGTAATTCCACATTGTTTTATGTTTGTTGTTTATGTTTGATGTAAAATCAAAACAGAAACAACTTATTATTGGCAAGTTGGTTTCTTCTGGTAAAAAAAAAACACTCAACATTTAAAATAAAGTAAACTTACAATCAATGGCGGAGCCAGGATTTTCAGGTAGGGGGGGCAACCCCTCCAGCAATTAAAAATGATAGAGGAGTTGTTAGTAAAAAGTAAGGACTTGTCCCTTGCTTTTTATTCGACGCGTGTGCGGCGATGGCGCAGCCATAGATCGAGGGTCGAATTCGAACCGCGTTGTGTGATCGGCATCGCGCTCGCTGAAGGTGTCGATGCCTTCAGGGAAGTCGTGGACTGTATACGCAACTGCGAACAATTCTGTGAGTCACTTATAACTGCTTTTCCGTTACTTATTGCCAATTATGGACTCAGACTATTGTCCTATCATCTCATAGAGTCCCTGGCACGTAATAATATGCTACACAGTGGCAGTGGGGGTCGCAAAATCCCTAATTTCGATCGGATCATTGGTGGGGCATGTGCCCCCCCCCCCCCACTGGCTCCGCCAGTGCTTAGAATGATTTACTTTTAAAATGTTGCTTGCTGACTTACAGCTGTGTGTGTATGTGTGAGACATTTATTTGAGTAAAGCCATTTAAAACACAATTTTACCTGCAGTGCGGTATGTGGGTTGACCCACTTTTGGACTTGCGTATCAAGGTTGTTCGATATATAAAGATTGTGTACCTTGAATTGGCTGGAGGTCACTGTCAGTGCGTCCATGGGACCTCTTAATCATGGAGTTATGTCATAAAGCTTTGCACAAGCGCAATAAATGCTGATGCACTTATAATTATTTTTCTTTTGCATTTTACTCCTTCCATCAGCATCACTCTCATTAAAAGTTTCCTTATAAATGTATTATTTTCTTGAAATATATGAGGATTTTCTATGCGTACCAGTAATATTACCACTGCAAATTGTGGTTTCCTGCATCTTTTAAGTGGACCTACTGATTCAGCAAAAACGGCATGTGATGTATCTCTCAAGGTCACAGTCTGATTTCCTTGTATCCATGTTTATTATCATAACTTAATGATTGTCTTATCTTTTTAAGGTCAAGTCTAAAATCAAGAAGAAGGTGATGGGAGTTCTGGACATATATGGCTTTGAGATATTTGAGGTAATGTGGCATGTGCTATTTTAAATGTAATTGAGGTGGAGATTGTGAGATAGCTCAATGGCGCGGCAGAAGGGTGAAATGTTTGGTTTTAATTCCGTGCCTTATGGAGGCTGTGGCTGACGGGGCAGATGTCCTGGGTGAAATGTTGCACTGTACAAGGGTCGTCTGATCGAGCTGAGATTTTTGCGCGTCTGCAGGAATAGCGTGTGCGTGTGTAATTCATGCATTGGCAGTGAAAGGAGGCTTTTGTGCGTGTTCGTGTGATTATCAGTTAATGTAAAAAAGTGCATTGTTATAATTTGTGGCAATAGGGATATGTACACAAATATGAACTAACTAATAGTCTTGCTAAACTGCTCAACTCGTAGTGTGAGTAATATTAATTAGACTGATGATTTGAGAATGCCACTGAAATAATTTCTTCTTGTGACAGGCACATAAGAACAAGCGATATCACCACCAAAATGTGTGATACAAAGTATTCGAAATAGTACATTGCAAAATATAATGTAGCCAGTGAAGATGTCTCATGGTACATTTGTGCATTCACCAAATCTGACTTCACAGCACCTTTTGTAATTTAATTCAGGCATCCTACTTGACAAATCATGTTATCTGTGTAACATCATACGTAAACATACCCATTGTTCACAAACAGAGTATGCGAACAAGAACAAATATTAGATGTGAGGTTCCAAAGTCAGGGTGGTAATTGATTTTTCCATGGATACCCCACAATATCCTGAGGCTGTGTGCTTCAGATAGTTAGTGCTGGGCAAATCACAGGTCACACAGCCCCCAGGCCCATCATATATACGGCTCATTCTGAACTTGATACCGTTGCACTGTTTTTACTACAAATACTGCTAAGTGTTGTAATTAATGTACCGACGTGTCTTGTAAACAATGCCTGGGTTGCCACGGTGGCGAGATATTTACTACCTCGCCTGGTATGCAGGAGGTCGTGGGTTCAATGCCTGAATATATTTTGAGTGTGCAGGGCTTTGTTCCCGTGTTTGCATGGATTTTTCTCCGAGTCCTCCGGTTTATTCCTTCCACATTTAGAAACATGCGTTTAAAGTATTTGGCTGTTATAAATTTCCACGTGATAAACCACTTCTTTGAGCTTTCATTTGTGGCCAGGTCACATAATTGTATAGCTCAGTAGACTTAGTTTTAAGAATCGTGAAATTGATAACATGAGCTGTCAGCAACAGCCCAGGAATGTTTATTATGGAGGGCAAAATGACTTGTAGAAATATAAATGCGTTATGAGCCATATGAGTTTATTTCGTCAGACTTTTGGCTACTGCTGTCATTGTAATCAAGTGGATTAACAGTATTTGCACAACAGGGACTGTTATTAAATCTACATATCTATATGTTTTGTACTCGATAGTGGTTTCCATGCTGTAATTTACATGTTTACAAAGGGTACAACAAAATAACAAAACATTACTTGCAAACACAAGTAAAAGGACACTGACTTTGTCTAACCTGGTGGCTCTCAACCTCTCTGAACCCATGAACCACTGTCAACCCCAAAACAATAGTTGTTGGGCCAGCATGCACCAATGACATAGTTTTCAAAATGAAAACTACTCTAAAACGTAACCTGCAACAGTTATACAGGCCGCTTCCCACTGCCTTGCAGGCCACAGGTTAGACCAAGGGTGGGCACATTTTTTGACTCGCGGGCCACAATGGGTTCTAAAATTTGACAGAGGGGCCGGGCCAGGAACAGATGGATGGAGTTTTTGTGTGAACTAATGTAAATGACGTGTTAAAATCATTACATGAAAGGATTTGGCCTTTAACAGGTAGCAAAGCATTTATTTGCAAGGCAATTTAACAAATTGCACGAACATGAACAATACAAAAACATGTCGTAACTCCCGGTCAAAGTGCGCCATCTAATGGGGAAATGGGGGCATTACAGGAGAAAGGTAAAATTTAATTTAACAATAATAATATTTGGACAAGTTCGGCGGGCCGGATTAAAAAGCCCAACGGGCCGTATACGGCCCGGGGGCCGTACTTTGCCCATGTCTGGGTTAGAATCTACTCGTCTAACCTGAGGTGACTCTAGCTGTCCCTACTAGTTATGAGTGTTTTGTGTTATCGTCCTATTCTGTCTCGGTTTTTCACTTGCATATTTGCACTTCTGCAGCCCAATAAGTGATCTATAATGGTATTAAAGCTTTAATATGTACGTATGTTGAACTTCTTTCGTAGCTTATGTAGCCAACCGTAATAATCGGAGGTGCGGCAGAAGGACAACAAACTAGACACAAAAAGCACTTGTAAAAAATATCTAGTCAAGTTCATCTATTTTTGGTTAACATGTTGGTGCCTTTCTGGCACAAATATGCCACCCAAAGTGCCATCGCATCATTAAACATAAAAACAAACAATTATATACACTTTAATTATTTTAAAGCAAATATTGGCTGTGAGTTTGTTGCTGTTTATTTAATATGAATCTACCTTTAGTTACAAGAAGTTACCTCGACGGCACAGAGATAACTGTTGCAGAGTATGGATAATCTATAGAGACTGTGAATTGGTGGAACACAATGCCATCTTCACAGTTGATGCTGCTTTTAATTTTGATTTAAAAATAAATAAATACAAACCGCCACTTCTTTCAAATGTTCTTGCCGTTGGTTTTCACACCTGATGATGACTGTTTGTGTGACAGTCGAAACGTCGTGAGAATTGTATTGTTTTATATATATTTTATTGTTTCCCTTCAACGTGACTTTACCGAAAGAACCAAGAATATGGTGCTTTTAATGCTTAAATAGGAAGCTTGCAGTTAAATATACATGAAATTAACAACGATTCGAAAACAAGTTTGGTGGATCGAGGAAGTTGATGTTGAGCTGGGTTGAGGCAAGTGCATTTGCCACTTGCTGAACTTGGCTGAAAAAGTGCACAGGATGTGCTGCTCAGTCACTTTTCCTGCCTGAGTGAGATCCCAGCCTTTTCCAGGGCTACGTGGAAAAATGTTGTCAAGGTCAGTTATGAGTAATAGTTTTAGGATATTTGCTGTTGCCGCAAAATAAATTGATGAACAATAGAATGTCAAGATTTCACTGTAACCACTTCTAAATATACTGTATTTTCCTTATTTATGAAATGAGCTGTGATGCAGCCTTTTTCCAATGATGATGTTAGTTGAGGTGCTAGTTAGTTGAAGTGCAAAATTACAAGCTATAAAACATGCATTTTTGGCATCACAAGAAGCCTTATATTTTAATAAAAATGTCCAGAGATTACATTCACAATATATTCGTTGGTTTGTTTCTCAATCCGCTTGTCCTGGTGAGGGTCGAGGCGGCAGCGTGTTGAGTAGTGGCGGTCCAGACCTCCCTTTCCCTGGCGACGGACTCTAGATCTACTACACTACTAAACTACTATACACAGACTCTAGCTCTTCCTGCGGAATTCCCAGGCGTTTCCAAGCCAGCCGAGTGACATAGTCCTGCCAGTGTGTCCTGGGCCGGTCCCGGGGTCTTCACACAGTGGGACGTGTCTCGTAGAGTTCCAGGGGGAGTCTACTGGGGGGGGGGGGGGGGGGGGGGGTGGGGGGCAGCGGCTCGACTCGGAGGCTCTCCCGGATTACCAAGCTCCTCACCCGATCATGGAGAGTGAGTCTGGCAACCCTACGGAAAAAAAAACTTCATTTCGGCCCCTTTTCCCCTCCGTCTCATCATTTCGGACATTACCCAAAGCTCATGACCATAGGTGAGGGTGGGAACGTCGATCGACCTGTAAACCGACAGCTTTGTCCGAGAACTCAGCTCACGCTTCACTACCACGGAGCGGTATAGCGCCCGCAAGACTGCGGACGCCGCACCGATCCGCTGGCTGATCTCCCAGTCTTTGTTACCGTCACTCGCAAAAGAGACCCCGAGGTACTTAAACTCCTCATCCAAGGGCACCTGGAGAGCGCACTTCACTGTCTCCCGGGAGTGAACCATGACCTCAGATTTGGAAGTGCTGATCCTCATCCTAGCTGCTTCACACTCAGCATCAAACCGTGCAAGTGTACACTGGAGATCACAGACTGACGAGGCAAAGAGGACAACGTTATCTGCAAAAAGCAGCGACGCCACCTCCATGCCTCCTTACTGGATCCTCTCCATACCTTGGCTGTGCTTTAACATCCTGTCCATGAAAATCACAAACAGGAGTGGAGACAGTTTTCAGTTTTTTTTCAGTTTCATTTATTTTGGTATATAGCCCTGTGAGCCATCCGGCTCTTGAATCGGGTGCAACCGCAACAAACAAAAAACAAAATCACGAACAAGAAAACATCTTAAAGTGACTATGCGCAAACAGAAAAATCCAGGGACAAAAACAGCAAAAATCTTTCAGTAAAAGCACCGCACACAAGATGCACCCTTGGCGGAGTCCAATTGTTATGAGTTAAATGCAGCACAATATATGTTCTTCGAATGTAACAATCATTGTGAATGACACATGCTAATGAACCCTTTTCCCTTCTGATGACGCACGTGTACGCCATTATATATATATTTTCTTGGGCTGTTACAAACAAGCTTACGTTGGGATAATGCAAATGCTCATGCTTGGTTTGTCCGTTTTTAGTTTACATCTCAATCGCTAGATACCACAGCAGATAAATATCTTAGTCAATGGTAATATGCCCCCCTCATTCTTAATATGAATAAAGTATACATTTTCTGAGATGGGCTCAGGGAGTCAGTCACGATTACCGTAGCTTTCACATTCGTTTCTATGGCTGCCCACTCATGCCCTTTTCAGCCTGGACCAAGTTGTAAACACATTTGTGCCACATTGATTTCGAGAAGCACACGTGCCTGGTCCCCAGTGTTAATTGAGACAATGTTTTGACACTCTCTAAGCAAGCTGTTACAGCCATGCCAGATGCTGCGGGTGGTAGCTGCAGTGTTCTTTTATGCCATTTAAAGCTAGAATACTTTATAAATGTAGTTTTTGACCGTGGGATCTTCATAGTAATCTATTTTTCCAAACAGCCAGAAAGGCATTTAATATCTATTAATAACTGTTGCTTTACTGTCACTTCGTAATTACCCATGTTAAAAGGAATAAAGATTGACACATTTACTGCTTGTGAGTTCTCGATAGTATAGTTAAGAAAATAAAAACATACGTTATAGTGAAACTAATAACTTCAAGCAGTGAATTGGAATAATTATTCAGTTGAACGTTATGCCCATGTGTGATGCCAAAGGCCCACATCCCAATTCTTTAATATTTTCACCATAGAAAACAATGACGGAAATGGGAAAAAACACTCAATCAGTTTGTCCTCTGTAAGAACATGTTCCACCCGTATCTTTCTCTGCGAGCGTCACATGCAGAGTTTCCTGTCTGTCTCTGCTGTTCATTTGACGGCTGCAGGTATCGTGCCATGCAACCCTTTGCCTTGGCTGTTTTCCAAAAGGTCCATAGGGGTCACCTGTAATTAAGGCTCCGTTTGCAGTGGTTTCATTCAGCCCTATTTTATGATAAAGGAAATTCCATCGAATCCCATGGAATTTCCTGCACTCAGAGTAATTGTAGCTTGGTATTTGTTGGTGAGTAATGTCCTACTCTCTGAGCAGGCAAGTTGGCTCCCATTTGTCTGAATCGTTGTTACGTTGCTGGAACGTATTAACATTCACCGTGCCCACTGCAAACCCATTGTATATTTAGCCATGAGTCAATGTTATGAATGGATCTGTGAAAACTCACTGTATTGTACTGTGAGGGAAACAAAGTATTTGATCCCCTGCTGATTTTGTACGTTTGCCCATTGACAAAGAAATGATCAGTCTAGAATTTTATTGGTAGGTTTGTTTTAACAGTGAGAGACAGAATAACAACAGAGAAATCCAGAAAAACGCATGTCAAAAATGTTATAAATTGATTTGCATTTTAATGAGGGAAACAAGTATTTGACCCCCTCTCAATCAGAAAGATTTCTGGCTCCCAGGTGTCTTTTATACAGGTAACGAGCTGAGATTAGGAGCACAGTTTTAAAGGGAGTGCTCCTAATCTCAGCTTGTTACCTGTATAACAGACACCTGTCCACAGAAGCAATCAATCAATCAGATTCCAAACTCTCCACCATGGCCAAGACCAAAGAGCTCTCCAAGGATGTGAGGGACAAGATTGTAGACCTACACAAGGCTGGAATGGGCTACAAGACCATTGCCAAGCAGCTTGGTGAGAAGGTGACAACAGTTGGTGCGATTATTCGCAAATGGAAGAAACACAAAAGAACTGTCAATCTCCCTTGGCCTAGGGCTCCATGCAAGATCTCACCTCGTGAAGTTGCAATGATCATGAGAACGGTGAGGAATCAGCCCAGAACTATACGGGAGGATCTTGTCAATGATCTCAAGGCAGCTGGGACCATAGTCACCAAGAAAACAATTGGTAACACACTATGCTGTGAAGGACTGAAATCCTGCAGCGCCCGCAAGGTCCCCCTGCTCAAGAAAGCACATATATATGCCCGTCTGAAGTTTGCCAATGAACATTCAGAGGACAACTGGGTGAAATTGTGGTCAGATGAGACCAAAATGGAGCTCATTGGCATGAACTCAACTCGCCGTGTTTGGAGGAGGAGGAATGCTGCCTATGACCCCAAGAACACCATCCCCACCGTCAAACATGAAGGTGGAAACATTATGCTTTGGGGGTGTTTTTCTGCTAAGGGGACAGGACATCTTCACTGCATCAAAGGGACGATGGACGGGGCCATGTACTGTCAAATCTTGGGTGAGAACCTCCTTCCCTCAGCCAGGGCATTGAAAATCGGTCGTGGATGGGTATTCCAGCATGACAATGACCCAAAACACACGGCCAAGGCAACAAAGGAGTGGCTCAAGAGGAAGCACATTAAGGTCCTGGAGTGGCCTAGCCAGTCTCCAGACCTTAATCCCATAGAAAATCTGTGGAGGGAGCTGAAGGTTCGAGTTGCCAAACGTCAGCCTCGAAACTTTAATGACTTGGAGAAGATCTGCAAAGAGGAGTGGGACAAAATCCCTCCTGAGATGTGTGCAAACCTGGTGGCCAACTACAAGAAACGTCTGACCTCTGTGATTGCCAACAAGGGTTTTGCCACCAAGTACTAAGTCATGTTTTGCAGAGGGGTCAAATACTTATTTCCCTCATTAAAATGCAAATCAATTTATAACATTTTTGACATGCATTTTTCTGGATTTTGTTGTTGTTATTCTGTCTCTCACTGTTCAAATAAACCTACCATTAAAATTATTGACTGATAATTTCTTTGCCAGTGGGCAAACGTACAAAATCAGCAGGGGATCAAATACGTTTTTCCCTCACTGTATATGCTTTTGTTTGAAAGATAATTGTGCGAATGTGTAAGGAAAATCCTGCACACGTGCACTATGCAGTTGGAGGATTGAGTTTCGTTTGTGCTAGCTCGACCTCCGTGGCTACAAAACAAAAATAGCCAGTGGTTAAAGGATTGGTGTTGCATTTTATAAAAATGTAAACGTTTCAATTAATTAGCGTTGAATGCCTTGATGGTGAAAGACGAGTGAGTATTGTAAAAGCGTGGTGTTACCATTCATTCAAGTGTTACGCACAGTTTATCAGCACAATAGCGACACCCTTGATTGATAGAGCAAGGTTTTATACATTTGTAAAACATATATCCGAGTGTTCTACAAAGCCACCATTTACACTGCGTTGCACGCATAATGTTGGGAAGCTAACGTTGACACGTGGGCAGTGTGGAGGAGTGTGGTTATTGGTCCCAGATGTGCCACTACATTACATTTGGAACTCAGTAGTCAGTGTCAGCGCTCGCATAGGAACACAGGGAGACGTGTCTGGGTGTATGAAATCAACTTCATTAAATACGTTTATTTGTCTAGCGGTCACAAAAATAAAGTTTACAATTTAAGAAACATTTGCAGAATTTAAGTAAACTCATTGTTGTACTTATTAATACCTAAGAAGCATACAAAGGATACCAAACATGTATTATTTGCATTGTAATCGTTTTCAAAGGAAAGGCTTGTTTGTTTGTTTTATTTTACTCGTTTGTACCCAGATTTGAAAACGTATTCCAAACATAATTTAACAGCATGAATCAGATAGGCATGATGGTGATGTCACTTATTGTATTATAAAATCTATTATATTTTAATATATTATGTGCAATTGAACGCAAACGTTACAGAAGACATTTTAATATCTCATACCGGTTACATGTTAATTTCCGTTGTGGCTGGGTTGGTATTCTCGTAAAACTAGGGTTTAAAAAAACCCAATAAATATGTTAATGAAATAAAACATCATGCCCTCCATAAACTTGATAACGTTCATTTAATCAACACACTGCAGTGTTTTGATGAGCCAATGACATATATGAAGAACATTTAGAAATCGTGACTAGCCAATTGGTGTGATTGAGATTAAATTGCTCTTAAATGACTATAAATCTCTAACTACCCTGCACATTTCAGGAAACTTTGCAGTTTAAAATACACTGTGACCTTGCCCCAGTAATACAATTAGACGACCCATGTGTCTTCATAATGCAAAAACCAGGTCTAACCAGGTCACAGTCCCACAGACGATAGTTTGAGTAATGTAGTGATTTTAATTATTTAAGTTAAGGCACGGGATCCATCCAAGTTGATGGAATTTAGGAACTTACTACAGACACCATTTTCTATGCCCATTGATCCTACATTTTCATGAAGGTCAATCGAATGCATTTTGGACACCCGAAATGTTTATGATTGTGGGTTTTTTTTTAAATTTGATTCTGATCCCATCTGACAAATACCCACATATATGTATGAACATAGTTGTGTGGCTGTTGAATGTTGTCTTTTATTGGTCATCAGTCCAGCGGTGGGGGCATCATAACAGAGGCAATGAGATCTCTGAGTCACTGGGGCCCACTGCCACTTGATAGGGGCTGCCAGTAAGCCACTCCTCACTGACGTTCCCTTCTCAGAATGCGACCCATGCAGGTGGAACCGATCACAATTTGCCTACACATCCGTTCGTTTTTCGATTTAAAGCTTTCGTGACTGCAAGGATTCATCTTCTTTGGTTCTTTCGGTAAAGTCACCACCACGTAGAATGAGAATAAAATAATAAATTGATAAAATAAAATAACGCAATTAAATTCTCACGACGTTTCGGCCACAACACACAAGCGGCCTCTTCATCAGGTGAAGGGACGAGACTGACTTTACATCTGTTCATGTCTCCCACATACTTCCTGGCACAACTTTCCATCTCATACAACGTCGTGCGTCATTGTTTTGTCTGCAGCCTGTCTCCCGTTCAGATTTTGACGTACAGAGTGCCACTGGAATTTTGTACCAGTTTTCCACGTGGATGGGGTTTTTCTTGTTGTTGTTTCATTAGCACACGTGACTGTTTTGGGGCAATTGTTCTTGTTTTATACTTTGGATGTTAAATACAAACTCAAGATGAATCGATATGCATAGCTGCGATTTGTTCTTAAAAGTAACTTGCATATCTTATGCTTGTATGTGTACAACCTGTAGATCTGTCCATGTATAGTGTCATTATTACACTGGACAAATTTCTGTTAAAATTGAGATGACGATAATGACGACCATGGCTGTGACCTGCATTTCAATGTCTTTTTCCCCATTCGTGCATTTTCAGGTGAACAGCTTTGAGCAGTTCATCATAAACTTCTGTAACGAGAAGCTTCAGCAGATCTTCATCGAGCTCACCCTCAAGGAGGAGCAGGAAGAGTACATACGAGAGGCGAGGACCTTTCCGTGGCCGTCTGTCTGTCTGTCCATCTGTCTGCTCCATCCCTGCACTGTCTCTTCTCTCTGCCTCGCTAGCATAGCCCTACCTACTTGCTAAGCTCTAGTTCTTTACAGTGGCAAGCTGCTACTTTTTTCACATTTAACCAAAACACAAATTTCCATTAATTTGCAGCCTGTTCTGTGCATGCTCGTGCTTTTAAAAAAAAGTTTTTATTTTTTTAAAAAAGTTTTTTTTATATATATAAACAACGGTTTTATTAACAACTTCGTGTAACTCACGGTCTTATGAGAAGTGCGTCAATGGCGCCTGAGACACGTGGCGCCTGAGACACGTGGCGCCCGCTTTTTACGCGAGCCGATTCCACAGTTTAGGGACCGCGGCGTTTTTGACCTACACAAAAAATATATAATTAAACAGGTCCCTGCAGGGTGGGCTGGTAGGAACATTGGAATTTTGCGCAATTTTATGACATTGTTACTTCCAAATGTTGGGTGCAATAAGACATATCAAGTCTCTGCGCTGTCTTATGCTGATTTTACACCCAACAGCACGAGATTTCACTTCGTTAAAGTATTGAAAGGGGACGGATGGACGGACACATTAATCCATTGCAGGCTGGTACACTCAGTTTACAACTTCGTTCCTACCAGTATAAGGCATACATACTAAAATTGTAATTGCTTGAAAGGAGGCAATTCATTGATCAATTGATGCCGATTTTCATACAGGCATGCATTGTCTCCGGATCTGAGTACGTGTGCAATTTTTTGAATTGATTGGACAACAGGAAGTAGAATAAATTTTGATTACAAGATTTGACCACGACAAACACAAGTGAAGTTAAATACAACCGTTGAGAAAAAAGAGAGGCAATTAAATTTTCACAAATGTGCTACTGTTGAAATAAATAGATAGAGTCAAACGCAGAGCTTTATGAATCATAAAAAGAATACCAGCACAACTTTTTTGTGCTACAGACTGCCCATTAGTGAACTCACCTTCTGCATTCAGGGATTTTAGGAGAGTGTTATTACATACTGTCAAAGCCAAAGTGATTCATTGATGCAACAATTGACACGAGAAACATTGGAACAATTTTTCAAACGCGTAACATCCAGAAATGTTGATGTTTAACATTCACGGAACATTTTCAGGTACTGAATAAAAAAACAATCTTGAGCATAATTGCATAAGACACCCAACTTCTTCTAATGCTACATTATCCATAATAGGGGGGAGGGGAAGGTTGGGTTAGAATTTGCGTAAATAATATTGGTCGTGAAAGCCTTCGTGTTAAACGCATGCTACATTAGTTAACAGCGATGTAAGTGCATAAGAAATAACGTTACATGGACACCATCATCATATTTCATGGACACCATCATCATAAACAACTGTCGGAAGGATATGTGTTGGTCTCTTCCTGAGAACAAAGTTGCTTGAATTTGAGAAGAACGTTGCATTTTCTGCCGTCAAGGTCAGTTTCCCCCCTTGTGAACGTTGAGAGTTGTCCTTGTCTTTTTTACTGATGGACACGTGCTTTGGCCATATGCTCGCCTCAATGGAATTGGGCATACACCACGAGCTGGGCAACATCATTAATATTCAAGCTGCCACGCCACGGTATGGCTTTAATGCCCTTTATGGGCAATTAAGCCCTGTTTGGAGACTGTTAAATGAAAATATGACTGTAGAGTTTCTTGCCAATGGCATGTGTGTGATGGCTGTATGCGTATCGATTTTTTTTTTGGTTGACTGACATAGCCAGAGCAAACCTGCTGTGTCTGTTGCAGTTATTGTGTGGAAAGTACACAGTTGTTGTTTTCATGAACGCACTATGTTCTACCGTATCTGTCAGAAATGACACTTGCAATATGTGCAGTAGCACATTCTATCTTGTTGTGTACGAGTTTTGGGTGATTGCTAAAAAAAAACTCGCTGTGCATCAATCAGTGAGTAGCAATCATGGTGCACATTGGCAATCAGTTGTTTAGGTTATGTACAATAACCTTTTTGCTGAATAAGTCTGTTTAAGTGCCAGAGTAATTTATTATGGCCTCCGATATCAACCAATGTTAAACAACAGTTCTACTAGTAGGAATGTGAAATAACTTCCAGTGCCTCACAGCCTTCAAAACAAATGCAACCCCATAGCGTCTTTGAGCAGACAGACATGTTATAAATGATTTGAAGAAAGGTGCAACCCAAAGAACAAAACGTCTCTCACACACACTCACACGTAGGATGTGTGTCCTAGACAATGGTGACATTAGCATGACAGCCTCACATCACAGTGATGTCTCTACAGCACTCCTGAAAGTCAACCTAAACCCCCCCCCCACCCCCTTTGTCTTTCTTGTTGAAGTTTCCAGTTGCGTCGGACAATATGGAACATGCAGTCTCGATGCGCATCTACGAGACGGGAGATATTGGTTGTTTTGAGTGGCTCCTTCTTTCGCCATGGACAATCAACGAGTCTGCTTCATCGCACGACTTGAGACCCCCTCCTTATTTTCCTGCTTAACAGCTGCAGTTTATGGGGGAGGTTGTTCTAATGTTGGTCGTTTGCTTTCCGTCTTTATTCTATTCATCCGTCTGTTTACATGCGTATGTATTTTACGTATGGGGAGCGGTCGTGTAGCGGTTAGCGCACTGCGCTATGAACCTGTCGACCCGGGTGCAATTCCAGCTCACGGCCAACACCATTGACGATTTTCTGAACTAGTCCTGGATAACCCCTAAGTCGACTCAGCCTCAAATGGGTACCTGTTGTGGTGTGTAAACATCGCCACTAGGGAGACAAAGGCGGCCGGGCGTGATGCTGGCAACCCACCCCCTCGTGTACTGTGCTCACTCACAGCACTTCCTCCTGCAGTCTTGTTAAGGCTGTCTGTGTCTTTTTTTCTACCCTTAATCACACAAGCAACAACATTTTATTGATAGAAGTTAGATAACCTTGTGTAATACCACTGACACAACTATTGCTTGTGTTGTATTCATTGAAAGATTTTAGTAATGTAAAAAGTCATTGTTACGTTTAAACTTTCTGGTCTCTCTATTAATAAACTATATTTTGTCAAGTGATGTTTGGCGTTTGCTGCGAGCAGGATGTCAGACTCCAAAGGAATAATATACACACATATCGCCCAAAGTCTGGTTCTTTAAAATAATAAGACATTTTCTGTGCGTTTATTTTTTCTTGTGTGTTGCAGGGAGTGAAATGGATCCAAATTGAATACTTAAACAACGCCATCATCTGTGACCTGATTGAGAACGTAAGGGTGTGCGTGTTCGGTGACTGTGGGGCACCTCGTCCGCTGCGTTGGTGCACTTTGTGTGTTTGCGTGTGAGCATGGGCGAGCGGTAGTCTAGTGGTGTGTGTGTGAGCGCACACACGTGTGTGTATGAGTGTGTGGGGAGCGGTAATGCAATGGTTAGCTCGCTGTGCTATCAACCTGGTGACCCGACTTCGATTCCCGCTCACGGCCAATACCACTGACGATTATCTGAATCAGTCGTGGGCCTCTTCTAAGTCGCCACTAGGGAGACAAAGACGATCGGGCATGGTGCTGGCCTCCGACCCCCTCCATTACCGTACCAGCCTTCATATTAGCTACTCGCTAACAGCACTTGCCCCAAAAGTCTGTTAAGGATATACGGCGGTTGTGCCTAAAAAATGCATCTCTGGTACGCAATGGCATGCCTTGTAGTAAAGTACTCCATGTAGAAAGTGGGATTCCACATCAAGTATAGCAATTGTAAGTAAGTAATTTAACGAAAGAAGGCTTTTGAGATACGTCAGACCTAAAAAAGGAAGACATGGTCTGGAAAGAGATTCGATGGAGGGCATGAATTATGGACAACGGCTGAGAGCACATGCGAGAGTTGGGATGACGCTGCTAGATGCGACTGCACACGATCATGAGAGATGGAGACTGATGTTGCATAATGCCTTTGAGCATTCAGGATGATGATGAGCCAGAGGCTTAACTCAATCTCATTGTTTTTTTTTAAGAGGATCTTGCAGAATGTATTTGTATATTTAGGGTATATACAAGTCATGTAGCTTTTTTTATCAAAAAATGTCGGTGTCTTTTTTTTATTTTAAAAGCACTCAATGGAGTGGTTATACTGATGCATTTGTTTATAGGTTTTCGTGTGGTTTTCATCGACCTTGTATTTGGGGTGTGTGTGTGTGTGTTGGTACACGTGTAAATATATAAATGTGTATACGTTTGTGCTTTAGTGTAAGTATGCGCACAGAAACACACACACACGTGTGTGTGTGTTGTGTGCATGTGTATATGCTTGCATGTGAGCATATATGCGTGTGTTTTTTGCACAATATTTATTGAATATTAGAAAAGTACATGCACATTATAAACTTTAGTTTGATGAGGTTTCATAAAAATGAAAAAAAACACGTGATCTGAATCGTAATGTCATCGGTTATTTGAACAGTATTTAAATTATAGAGCGCTATATTATATGCGCATGTTGATGTGTGAATATGAGCAAGCATATACATATTCCGTATCTGTCTGTGTTGGTGCACGTACATTATAGCAAGAATATGCATGCCTATGGATGTATTTGTGTGTATGAGCACATTTGCAAACATGTAATTACGTGTATCCTTATCATACGTTTACATAGCGCCTTAACCAAGGTGATGTCCAGTGAACTAACTATGGTACAAGATTTTTGGCGAGATCCAACGAGATAATTGGATGGGATATATGTGAAATGAGGTGGTGGTGGTGGTGACACGTGGAATAAACGAAGATGGAAATGAGATGAGTGGATTGATGATGGGTGACTATGCGGAGTTGGGGACAGGGAAGGCGTATGCTCATGTGTTTGTGTCGATCCCCAAGCACATGTACATGTAGAATACCATATCTAAATGCATCTCCATCTCAAGATCCCGAGAAAAATAATAATTTATAGTGAGCTTGGACTTGAGGGAGTCAACAGCACGGCGGATCATTAGAGGAAGACAGTTCCAGACTTACATTGACGGTCGAGGAGGATGAACGTATCGCTCTCTCTCTCTCTCTCTGTCTGTGCAGTCCAAAACTGGCATTCTGTCCATGCTGGATGACGAGTGCATGCGTCCGGGCAATGTGACTGACTCCACCTTCCTGGACAAGCTCAACGACAAGTGTGGCAAGCACAAGCACTTCGAGAGCCACAACAGCCTGAGCATCAAGCGCTCGATCGACAACTCCCTGCCTTATCGGTGCTTCCGTGTGCAGCACTACGCCGGCATGGTGCGCACGCACACGCACTCAGAGCGCCGCACCGAGTGCGGGCAGCATGCAGCGCGTCCCTAGAGCAGGTCTAATTCGAAGGAAACAAACTATAAACAAAACACATTCTCCTGCGGAGGGAGCTGGTAGGAACGTTGGGTTGCTCGGTCAATGGCCAGGGTCAACGGCGGCACCACGTGGTGTATTCCGCAAATATGCCGGACTGTGAGGGCGGGCACAAGCCGGCGTGAGTAGGTTAAACGTTGAGTTTTATAAGGGCACCACGGGGTGACCAGCCCCACCCCTCCCAGCCCCACCCAGCCCCTCCCCACCCTCCCCTCCCAACCCAGCCCCACCCTCCCCACCCAGCCCCTCCCCACCCTCCCCACCCTCCCCTCCCCTCCCCACCCAGCCCCTCCCTCCCCACCCAGCCATATCTGAGACAAACTTAAGCGCTTGTGCTTTCGCTACTTTGTCCCCACCTGAAGAAGGACGCTTGTGTTGCGCCCGAAACGTCGTGATTTAATTTAATGTGGTTGGTTTTTCATTTATTTCTTTATTTTATATTTTTTTACCTACGTGACTTTACTGAACAAAAACAAAGAGTGTGTAAAATCCACATGTTAAAATCTGGTTATTACGTTGAGTGTACAAATGTCATTGAATTGCTAGACACGAGGATGCCTGAACATTCTAAAACTGTGAGAAAAATGTGGCAATGGGTGATATAATACCACGGTGTTTGTTTTTTCCAATGTAATTAGAGCACTACTTTTAGTAGAAAATAGAAGCACTGCCGTTACATTCTTCAAGCAAATAGTGTTTTAGTTATTTATTTTACAGTCCTCAGACGGTTTAAAAGAGATCGTGTTTGGAGCTTTGATTAGAAATATGGAAACACAGCGTGGGACACATTCTCTAAACTCAAGCTTTCATAGAGAAGCCATTTTACAGTTGATTATGCACATTGCAACGCTGTAGAATCTTGTGTTGTGGGTTCACTTACTGTCAATCATCTTTCGTTTCTGTCACATTTCATATGACCGATCATCAGCTATCATGCGTGCAAACAGTCACCGAGTTTAATGTACTTCGTCATCCAGTATATAATTTCTGAGCAGTCTTCAGCTTCACAATTGACATTACCGTCACTTTTAATTTCATTCACCGAAACGCCATCGCTGTAATTCAGTGCTATACCTCTGTTCAATTACTATCATTCAGTGTTACCCAGTGAAACATCACCTCTATCACCATCACAATACATCAACGTCTGTAATCGTAACATAACAATATTCTGTCCATCACATCTTTCGCCATCATAACCATCAACCTTACAACAGCCATCATTGTCCTTCCTCAATCCTGCGTTCTTTGTCTGAGATTTTACTTCCATTTCGGAAAGATTCAGAGTAGGGGTTGCCCTGCCAGCCATCCCATCGTCAGCACAACTATCAACTCCGGAGAAGTCTTACTAAACTGTGTCTTGTCAAAAAATGTGCAGCGACAAGCAAACTGTGAAGAAACGACACTGCTTCTCTTAATCCCCACTGCACGGGCATCCGTGTTGGTTTTAATGTGGTCCTGGCAGTCTCCATTGTGTACAAATTTATATTAAACAAATTTCACTCAGAAAGCCATAAAACATTTTTGTTTCCAAACAGCCGCTTGTACATGTAGTTGGATTTTTTTTTTTTTACGCAGGAAAGCCAAGCAGATTAAATGTGTTTGGCTTTTCATTCCTTAAAGTTCATAACTCACGACAAAGAGATTGGAACAAAAAAGAGTTCAAATAGAAATGACGGTTCAACCCTTATAATGCAGGAACCTTCATAGCTCCTTGTTCCCCAAATAAATTAATGGAGTAGTGGTGCTGTGGTTTGCGCACTGCGCTATGGATCCAACAATTGATTCCTGTTCACGGCTAACATCAGTGGCGAGGAATATCGGTAATGATCCTCGGTCACCACCCTTCACCAATCCCTATTAACCAGCGTGGTGAAGTATGGTAAAAAAAACCCTTGACTGACACAGCGTTGAATGGACGAACGACCGTAATTTCTTTACATTCAAACACGTTGCTTAATACAGACACAATATGGACTGCAGCAATGCTTGCCACTGAGTTGATGTGTCTGTTCATGTTTACACTTTCCAGCTGGAAGCCAGAGCTAACCAACTAATGGGGCCCGAAGTCATTGCACAGGGTGATTGATTGATGGATACCCCAACTAAAATACGAGGGAGATGTTACGCAACTGTAGACTGTGATGCAGCTTGTTAAAGAGTGGCATCTTGTGCACAGCAGCACGTTCTCAGCTTTTACAGTTCTTACTCTTATTCTTTGGGTCTTTCGGCCGTAAAGTCACGTAGATAGAAACATTTAAAGTAAATAAAATAAAATATTTAAAGTAAATAAATTAAGTGGATATTTTAAGTAAATCCAATATTTTATTTACTTTTATTTGTTCTTTCTACGTGACTTCACCGAAAGAACCAATGAACATGAATTCCTGCAGCCACAAAAGTTTTAAGTCAAAGTTCTTACTCTGTTTTCCTTTACATATTTAATCGCATCGATGTCAAAAGAATGTAAGATACGATTCGTAAATTGTTCTCCTTTGCTTTGGCACACACACACACACACCCAGACGCCACCTGAATTACACGCAGTGCATGTGTCGGGGTCTGAGAATCTCCATCCATGCCACCCTTCACCGCAGAATATAACTGCACCATAAATTGTAACAAGCTGTGTTTCCTGCACAATTGCAGCATTAAGTGGGGAGCAAAAAGTGAGTTTAATTTTCCTTCATGGACCCAGTCCGTCGATGAACCGAGTATTTAGTACTGGTGCTGTAGATTTTTCTAGACAGTGCTCAATAATATATTTAATAATTTCGACCCCTTTATGAATTCCAGTTTTGGATGAAACCCCCTCCCCCCCCCCCAACATTCCATTTGGTCATGGGAATTGTTTTACCATACTTCACCATGCTAGTCAGTGTGGATTGGTGGAGGGGCAGCAATGTCCAGGGCGAGTTCAGGTATCACTTGCCACTGATGTTGGCTGTGCCCAGGGATTTAACTCAGGTATTTATGGGTTCGTAGCGCAGTGCGCTAACAACCGCACCACACACTTCACCCTGGTACTAATAAAATGTGTGACCGAGTTAGGTCGTAAATTAGCAGAATGTTCCTGCTGGGTTATTTTGCTTGCGAGAGGAAATTAGGGTACCTGAAGTCACAATCCATACAAGATGCTACAAATGCATGTATGCGGCTGTGTCCTGAATACAGCTTTCTTTCATGTATTTAACAAGCGACCGCATAGCCCTTCACGTCCGCTGTCTCATCTCATGCATACGCTCACATCTCCATGATTCGCTTACAAAGCAATGGATTGCAGGTGTGCCTTACCGCAACATTCTGACAATTATTCCTCCATCTATAGTTACTTGCTTTGATCATGAATTTTAACCCCGTCTGCACGGTATTGGCGCGCACACACACGGTGTGTGCGTGTCTGCGTGTAGGTGACGTACAGCGTGGATGGCTTCGTGGACAAGAACAACGACCTGTTGTTCCGCGACATCTCGCAGACCATGTGGCAGAGCCAGCGGAAGCTGGTGCGCGATCTCTTTCCTGAGGGCAACCCCAGCAAGCAGTCGCTCAAGCGACCGCTCACGGCCAGCAGCCAGCTCAAGACATCGGTCAACGCCCTCATGAAAGACTTGCTCATCAAGAACCCCAACTACATCAGGTCTCGCATTCACCGCCACCCCCACTAGACCCTCTGCCCTGCGTGTGCCCATCAGGGTGGGGTGGCGGCGGCGGCGGCAGGTGTTGCATCTGCAGATGTAAACTCCCGTCACGGGGGGGTTCCTGTGGTCTGGGGTGACTTGATGTATTTCCCATAAGAATGTGACATGCAGCTGGACACGGTTCCTGTGGCTCCGAGAGAGCCCCGGCAGCAAGCACTGGGCTGGGTGGCGTCGGTGAAGCGGCTCTATTGTATTTCAGTAAAATTCTCCGCCTGTGACTAAATTACCTGAAATGCACCCGATATAGTCGGTGCATGTACGCTGGACATTGCTTGGATAGGTGAGCACCGTACACTGGCAGCGCGTCATAGGGCTCCGGGGTTGTGTGGTGTGCAGTCGAGGGACTGTGGAGAAAAGTCCATTGTTGCACTGTACTTCCGTGCTTCCACGGTTATGCTCCCCGCCATAACCAGCTGTACTGATCAGTGGTGAAGTATGGTCAAAATAGCCACCACGGCCTTCCACGGGCGTGGAGAGACCCTCATTCAGCAGTGGAGTAATAAAAATTGTTGTGTATGTATGTTAAAATTCGGAAAGATGGTGCGTCTTTTTTGCGCCTCATGGTTTAGCCATGGTGTCTGCGTCTATGTCTCTAATGCGGTTGAATTCTGAATGTCTTCAATGCCTGTCGATTGAAATCTTGGGCAGCATTTGTCAGCAAGCAATGCTCATGTTAAAAGTAGTTATTTCTGCCGCAAACACAATGGCATATAAGAGCCCCAAGAGTCTAAACCGTTTATATCTGTGATTCAGAATGATACCTTTTGAGCTTTCCAACGATAGCTTTCATTAGCTGCAACTAGAATGTGTGCATCACATACATCTTGAGTAGCACATGGGTTCTCGAGCTGCAGTGGTGAAGGCCATGAATGAAAGATATTTAATTTCAGTATTATGTTTTTGAATAAACAATGGGACTGTATTAGTAAGGGATATTTAAAGCAGAACACAGCTCATGTGATAATATTCCACTACCAACAGCACATTGTGCAATACAAAACATGTCACCGTTCACAAATAATACATTTAAGATTACATATTTTTACATCTGTTGTTTCCAATTTCATTGAGCAAAATAATTTACAGTATTTAGATTGTGTTGTTTATTAAATTGGATACAGAATGCGTGTTTTGAATCTCATTGGGTGGCATATTAACCTAATCAGAGCTGCATAATAATATCAGCACGTAATCATCTCTCAGCACTTAAGCTATGGTTCGTGACTATACAGACCATTCATTATGTGGAGAATGAAATGTACTCATGAACTCACTTACCTTACACCACCGCTAAGATGAAGGCAGTGTATTTTGGCTTTGTCAGATAAACACACGTTTTAATTTAAATACTCTTTCTGGAGTTCTTCCAAACGGCATGCGCTTTGTTATGAATCTCGTAACTTGTCTCTGGGGCGAGGTGGTCTTGATGCCAACTTAGTGGGCCGCTCACCTCCGCCCGTGGCTGCGGTCACCACCCTCGCCCGGTATGAAAGAGGTCGTGGGTTCTGATCCGACCCTGACGCCTGTATATATGCAGTTTGCATGTCTCTCTCCCCGTGGTCGTGTGGATTTTTCTCCGGATCCTCCGGTTTTTCCCTCCACATTTGTAAACACGCGTTTAGGTTATTTGGCTGCGCCAGTAAATTCTCACGTGTGACCAGCCACTCCGTTGAGCTATCATTTGTGTGGCCAGGTTGCTTCTGAAAAAGAGCTGTATAGCGCAGTGAGCCTTACCTGGTAACTAAAATAGTTAAAAAAATTGCTTAACTCCAGCCCATACAGGATCAAACATCCCCACGGCTTCCTTTGCATTGTGCCGGACTGTCTCCTGCACTAGACCATGCTGTATGTTGCTGCCGCACTTCATTGCAATACTGCCACGTCAAATCAGTGGTGTGGCGTTGTTGTGCCATCAGTGTACAGTACTTCTATATGGTATAATTGATATACTAGCATAGTGAAGTATGGGAGGGCAAAAAAAAAACCGCCCCATGACGAACATGGTGTGGGGAGAACTTGATCCTTTGGTGGATTGAGAATGGCTGGATTTTATTTATTTACAAGTCAAAGTTCAAGTATCTCCCTGCTTAAGTGAGCAATGGGGTTAGTGCTTACATCTGTTGGCAGTCACGAGAAATACCACATTCCCTTGGTGGGGCCCTATAAACACATAATTGCTTGATCACTGTTGACTTGTCACAGAGCGGTACTAATTTTATGTACCTCAAATGGATGATAGGGAAATAAAAAATTGTACTTTATCCGGGCATATTTATTGAGTAATTTTTCATGAGAGAGTAAACCAGGGTAACTGAAGAACACCCATAAATATGAAGGGATTATAGGCCAGAATGTGTAAACATACTGTACGTCAAAGATATCTGCTTGCTATATTACCTACGAAACGCTACTACCTCTTAGCCATGAAGATTGGATGTCTTGCTCTCGGTGTCAGCCGGGTTCACCAGCTCCGCCTCCAGATTTTTCTCATTACAGAAAAGCACCGCTTAGCCGCGAAGGCTATAAATGCCGTTTATCCACAAAATCATGGGCAACACCGATGGACACGGGCACGAATTGCAACAGTTCCACGTATCCCCCTGCTGGGGGGGGGGAACTTCTTAGTCTGGCTCGGTTCAGCCTTAAATCTCAAATAACACAGACAATCGTGGACAAAAAGCACCCAGCGCTTGTGCATTACGCAAAATAAATCGTCAGCAGTGCGTGAAGAATGTCAGTGTGGGCAGCAACTGCTGGTGGTTTTTTGCACAATGCGCAAAAGCTGAGTGATTTTTATACACGTTTTTTGGGTGTTGTTTGAAACCTGTGATTTTTTCCCAGCCTACACAATGTTTCTGTTGTGCTTCTCATCATTTGCAGATTTGATCGGTTCAACCTTTGTATTCCTCGCTTATCACTGATACGGTAGTTTGTCAGTTCTAGTAGTGTTACCTTGAATATTTTCAGCTACCAGAAGGCAATGCAGCTGTTTTTGGGATGCTTTGGTAACTATCTTGATTTTTTTATTTTGTTAATTTATGTTGCATATGCATAGAAACAGTATGTTATGTAAATTATTTTGCACGAAAATGATCATCGATCCTCATTGCCTTGCCTTTTAATACCAAAGGCATCACATATTTTAATTTCAGCACATCAGTAATTGAATTGATGACACTGGGAGCACAGTTTGAATGGGTGGTTTAGTAAGAGTTGCTGTCGGACTGAGAAAGCACCGGCGTTCTCACCCTGGCTTGCTGACAGCGATCGACGCTCAAGCGTCGGCTGATAATTATCAAGGGTGCCACATTATCAGTGCCACAGTGTAAGGATGGCATCATGCTGAAAATAACTGCCACGGATAACCATCATACCGAAACGTGTCACAGCAACAGCACACCTTTCGGAGTACAGCCATGTGAAACCAATAATCCAACGCCTCTTTCTGTGCTGCAGACACATTCAATTTCACGGGGCAGCCAAGAACCACGCATTCTGTGCCACGCACAATGTGCGCTATGCTCACCATGGCCATTCCGCTCGCACGTCTCTGCACATGCTCGCTACAGGTGCCTCAAGCCCAATGACCGCAAGTCGAGCAGCCTCTTCCAGGACGAGCTGGTGTTGAACCAGGTGCGCTACCTGGGCCTGATGGAGAACGTGCGTGTCAGGCGAGCGGGATACGTGTTCCGCCAGCTCTATGCGCTGTGCCTTCACCGGTACAAGATGCTCGGCAGCCAAACGTGGCCGCATTGGAACGGCGATGCCAAGTACGTCACACGCACCACGCATGCAGCTCATCGTGCAAACATTGTGACGCCTTGGTTGCCTTGGGGTCACCATATGGAAGGAAATGGCCTGTTCTATCCGAGTTGGGGGGGGGGGGGGGGGTTCGATAAAACTCCGAACGGCTTCATCGTAAATCAAGTCAGTAAAGACTTTATAGGATGTCTACAGTGGTAATCTTATGCAGATCCAGGCTCTTGACCAGCGAATGATGAATTCCAACCACTCTCAAAGGGGCTGCGAAAGCAGATGAGTGTTGTCTAAGTGCTCGTTTTAGTAAAGGACAGTCCAGATGCCAGCACTCCTGACATTCCTTGATTTAAAAAAATCCAACTTATTTACCCATTTTGTGTTTTGAGATTCCCCACCATTTAATTCCCGAATAAATGTAAGTCCTTATGGCCTGTTCTATTTTATGTTCATCTCGCGATCTGGTAATCATCAGAATTATGACTCTCCTGCATTGGAATGTCTGGTCTATTCATTTTTAATTCGTGTTTTGATGTCGGAGGAAACCGGAACACCCAACAAAAAAACTCACGTGTATGTGAGCATGTGAGTACTCAGTAGTCCACAGTGTGTGGCCAGGAACCCACTTTCTGGACTGTCATGCACTGGCCACTTCAGAGTGCAGCAGTTTTGGCATTCCATGGCACACCGTGAAATTTTTGTGAGCCAATAACACGGCCTCCAAATACTGGGTTATGTGTGTGTGTGCGCCACCACGCCCAGCATAATACATTACATTTCTGATCAATCGGACTTAAATTTCACGCATGATTAATCGCACACAGTAGTTGATTCACTTTTTATTTGTGAGCGTGGAGTGAACATGCGATCTTGAGAACCTGCCGGGTTCCAAATTAATGAAGCTGCACTTGGGTCTCTTCCCATGTACGCAGTTAATCGAGACTCTCCTGTTGCTCTAAGAATAATGGGTTGCGTTGAACGGCGTGCGATGTTCCCCTTGAATCGCAAATGATTGTTCCCCACGCTGTGACTGTCAAACAGGGAGGGGGTGAAAAGTATCCTGGTGGACCTGAAACTTCCCCAGGAGGAATACGCCTTTGGGGTTACCAAGGTCTTCATCAAGAGCCCCACCACGGTGCGCAGGGTTGCTCACGGCGCTCAGCGCATGCTCATTTGAATGACAGATTCTGGGTATTGGGGGGTTTAATTAACCGAATAGCACGGCCCAGTTAACCCATTGGTGAACCACAACTTGGGACTCTTGACCCTCCCAACTAATGACATTTTTCGACTGCCTGTGATCCATAACCTGGTTGGGTAGCATGTAGTTCTATTCATTCCCAAGCAGGCGGTTGCGAGTTGAAATCCTAGTTGGGGGGGGGGGGGGTTCGATTAAACTCCGAACGTCTTCAACGTAAATCAAGTCAGTAAAGACTTTATAGGATGTCTACAGTGGTCATCTGACGAAGATCCAGGCTCTTGACCAGAGAATTATGAATTCCAACCACTCTCGAAGGGGCTGCCAAAGCAGATGAGTGTTGTCTAAGTGCTCGTTTTAGTAAAGGACAGTCCAGATGCCAGCACTCCTGACATTCCTTGATTTAAAAAAAATCCAACTTATTTACCCATTTTGTGTTTTGAGATTCCCCACCATTTAATTCCCGAATAAATGTAAGTCCTTATCCTGAATCAATGTACAACCATTTTTACTTGTTCAGATACAGTCATCAATAAAAAACATGCTATGTAGATACACTTGCTATAGCAGTGAGGGGGGGGGGGTGTTTGGATGCCAGAGGACCAAATAAACTGTATATTCTATGTCGCCACCACAGCTGTTCCAGCTAGAGCGGAAACGCACGGAGCGCATGCACGAGCTGGCCACCCTCATCCAGAAGACGTACCGCGGCTACAAGTGCCGCACTCACTTCCTCCTCATGAAGAAGAGCCAGATAATCATCGCCAGCTATGTCCGATCACACCAAGTGAGTCACGTTCATTGTACAGGCACGATCGGCCTCGAGGTCCTTTCGAGGATAATCTCACACACACACACGCGCGTCATTCCGTTAGGTGATACACATTTAACCAACACCAAAGGAATGATTGGGCTGAGTAAGCAAGGAGTCAGAATTTGAACTCTCATCCTCCCTATTGAGCCAAACACTCTAGAAGGAGTGCCAACATGTCAGATTGTGTGCATACAATAATTGATAAGTCACCAAATTGGTTCTGCAGCAGATAGTTTGCATTGCATAATTTGAGAACTCAAACTTGTGGAAAATGGGTAGATGGCAAATGTAAGTAATCTTTACAATATACAGCCACCCACATTCAATTGCACACATTGAAAATATCAGTATCAAATGCTTGCTATGAAAATGTCAGGAGTGTTCATAACCATGTTCACATTGTGTCGATATGAATAACTCCCAAAGAATTTAATAAATAAGTATGAATCAAAATGCACACTCCATAGCAAGCCCTTACAGTGATCATGAGACCGAATCCCCACTATTTCTGACTACATCCCAGCGTGGATCACGCACACATGCTCCGAGACATTTAGACTGTGTTTCCGTTTATCTTGAATTGTGTACTGGAGGCTCTGTCGGAACTGGAGATTATACGATATGGCACAAAGCGACATTACTATTCTGGCCGTGTGGGAATGCGGCAGTGCTTTGATCATTGCCAAGTGGAAGGAAGTTGCCTGCAAGGCGGCTGGAAGCAAATGGTGAAATCATTTAGCACCACTGAGCCAGTTTCCTTTGAAAGTATATGTTCCAGATTTTCATGCATTTTTAATAACACACGTCCACGCTGTAACAGTTGCTCAACCGTCAGTCAAAGAGTAGCAAGTTCAAATTCTGGTCATGTGTAAAAAAAACAAAAAACGGAGTATCACATTGTGGAAAGCCAACAAGTGTTGTCCTAGCATCGAGAGACCACTCACATGCAAGATAACTTATGGCAATATCATTTTTACAAATATGATTTGATTAAAACTCATGGAAGGTCATTTGACCTGGTTGATTTGGCATGCAAACATCATGCTGGACGTTTTAGATCACTGGGGTCGTTCACCATTTGTTAATAAATGCAGCCGAAGGCAAATTTTATTATTGTGCTATAAATAAAACTTGACACTAAAAGAAAATATTGGAAGGGCTTTAGTGTTCATTCTTATATTGTCTGAGCATAATACTTAAGAGAAGCGTATTGCTTGCTGCAATTCAGTGTGTCTAATTGCTGCATCTGTGTTTGGCATGCAGCCTGCTTGGAGGTAATAGATGCCAGTTGAACAAACAAAACCACTTGTGAACTCCTGCACCACATTCTTGGAATTTGTGTGGGTGAATGTGTTAAGAGCAGGCTGCCTATTAGAAGCGGATGTTGAAGCAACCTAGCTTACACACGTTGTGGCTGTATTGAACATTTAAAGGCCACATTTTAGGAATTAAAGCGGTGTTTTGTAAAAGAATGTTCCAGTGCATTCTTGTCAATGTCCCAGTTCGGTGACAAATTTATTTTGTTCAATATATGCCTATTGTTGTAGAGATAATTTAAGAGGCAGTGTTTGTATCATGTAGTGGGAATCTGTGTATCATGTACCATGCCGGCCTTCATAGGTGCTCACTAACAGTCTGATAAGGCGATATGGGGGATCTCAGTCTTTGTCTAAAAATGTCTACACATAAAACGGGTATTCATATTCTCAACACGTTGCAGTTATTGTGGCTCAGAGGATCAAGGATTCTCTGTCCACGAGCGAGTTGACCCACGTAGACATTATGAACGAGCTTATGGGAAAACTCACAAGATATTTAACGTAGAGTTTGCGACTACATCTCAATGCCAGCTGGTCCATGTATCGTGCGTGGACCAGCTTTAAGCGGCGTATTCCTGAAGTAAGTTTTAGGATCCGTTCTCTTTACAAAATAATGCTGTGGCTTCCTGGATGGACCATGAAGCACGTGGTTAATTATGCCGGTCTGAGAAATGTATATTGTTAGTATGATAGCAATGCTTATGTCTGCATTGCGAGCGTGAGCACTGTTGTTCTTGTGTATAGTCAGTGATTCCGTGCTCAAATAAGCATTGAATGGTGCTCATCCCAATTTGCAGCTCTGAGCCAGGGTGTAGAAATCCTCTATTCCTATGGCGATGGCCTTGTGGAGTGTGTCATTAATAAATAACTTAATTAGTACAGGTTGGAGCTCCTCTAATGGCTGTAATGCTTAGCACCCCAAGGATTGACATTGGAGATGCACATTGCCTTTTAGAGCCACCCCCCCCCCCCCAAATGTGCCCGTGCTTTAAATTATTAATCGTCTCGGCTTCTTCGCTGAAGATCACCTCGCCCTTGGGCAGTCCCAGGAGCCGCCCCCAAAATTCGGCGTCGGCTTTCTCAACGATTAACCAAATTAATTGCGGTTTCTCGTTCGCGCGTTTGCGTGTTGCTCTTTCCCAGGAACGCAAGCGGTACGTGAAGACTCTGGAGTGCATTGTTCTCCTGCAGCGCATTGTCCGCGGATGGAAGGTATGAGCGATGACCGCGTGCCGAGTTGGCTCGGCGTCCCTGCACTAACTCATCACGGTTGTGTACTCTGCACCCGTGCCACCTTGCCAGTGACTCCGTCTCCTCCCACCAAAATCACTGTCGTGGAGTCTCTTTGCTGGCGGAGGGTGAAGCGCTCGTGTTTATACTGCATTTTGGACACGGTTCAGAGCGCAACATTAAACGCGTCCTAACAACGACGACCTCCCCTTTTTCCAGCCGATGGGATTGTGCCGCGAATTTCACGGCAATGCGCACGGTTTACGAAAGGTTTATTGTATGCTTTCCTGCAGCTGTGTTCCGCTGATGCTAGTTTCACAGCCAAGCCAAGCTTTATTTGTGGCGTTGCAGCGCCACACCTCCACTTCTGGTGCGATCTGCTGCATGCAGCGCTTCTTTCATTATTAAGTGACCAAGTGTCACTGTCCTCTCGATGGTGAGCACAACTAACAAAGCACAAAAAGCAGTTCTAAAGAAATGAATGAAATCTAGATTTAAAACTAATTTCTTTAGAACGGACTTATTTCTTTAGAACTGCGTTTTTATGTTCAGTTTGTTGTTCTTCCCCTGCACCTCTGCTTAGCACGTTTGGCTACGTACGGTGCGAAAGAAATTTAACATGATCTGTTCCTTGACCCACATTGTGTCCCTGTACAGCCGAGTGTGAATGAAGAGCAGGTTTCCAATGACAGTTTTCTTATTGCCGTCGTTGATGAGTGGAATGAGACCATAAGCCACTATCTGCGTGTGGACAATCTCCCCCACTCTATGGAGAAAACATTTCATTTCCTGCTGGTCAAACATCAAGCAGGATCTCACAGGTGCTGAATGAGCACCTTGTTACGTTTAAACTTATGACTTGTACACTCTGTTCGTTATCAGGAACATCAGGAACTTATTGGTCCAAAGTATTCACACGCAGAGTATGTGTTGAATCATAGTACCACTTACTATGAAAGGCTATGAGGTGTGTTTCCATTATATGATCATAATGGACCAAAACAAAAATGTTTCTTGCTGTGGTTTTCCCACCTAACGATGATTGCTTGTGTTGCAATCGAAACGTCGTGATTTAATTTATTTTATACCCACGTGACTTTACCGAAAGAATCAAAGAGTATGGATCCCTGCAGTCACGAAAGCTTCAAATCGAGATTGGACCAACAACTCTTGTTCTTTAACCTTGCTTCGAAGAACCAGATTAAGGATCTTACTCAGCAACATCCACGTGAGAATTGTAGTTTTCAAAGTAAAAGTTGAAACGGTTTTGTTGGAACAAAGTAGAGGCTCACTATAGCAGCATTCCAACGATGCAAATGCCTTTGCTGCACACAAAGCTGTTGGCAGCCTCTTTTTAAAACGAGACTCATTTCTTAACTTGTGTTTAATGACTTGTTAAGATTCACCTGAATGTTGTGCACGGCGCAACATTTTACGGGGGGGGGGAAATCCTGACCAAATATGAGGAAAAAATCCTGACAGGATGAGGAAAAAAATTCCGATAAAATGAGGAAAAAAAAATCCCTGACAAAATATGAGGACAAAATCCTGACAATGAGGAAAAAATCCTGACAAAATAAGAAAAAACACTGATAAAATTAGGAAAATCCTGACAAAATATGAGGAAAAAATCCTGACAAAATATATGAGGGCAAACCACTGAAACAGGCACCACACTCTCCTTCTCAGCATTGAAGTGCACTCCGACATGGGGAGTAGTTTTTTTGTTTGTTGCGTTGCAGATGCAGAGCGGGTTGTGTGGTGTTGGCAGAGACGAGCGTGGGATGAGTGGCCTCGGTAAACGAAGCGGGGTGTAGGGGGTGGCCCAGGGTCCCTTCAGCCAGGGAACTTTTCCACCTGCTATTGGAAGCTTGCTTATCAGCTTGGTGATCGATGCATGTCCAGTGAACCCAAGGGCACCTGGGCAGGAGGGTACACAATGGAACACACGCCCTACTACACTGGAAGATGTACGGGAAATACACACGTGCATGGCGTCGCGGACAAATATAGTGTCAATGTCGAAGTAACATGCTAAAAGATCTGCTCAATTGAAAACAATTACACTAAGGCTTCAGTGACCTGACCTACAATGTCAAGACTGGAAAACATGCACCATTTTCTTAAATGTGACTCTCAAGCTAATTTCCTCTTGTCAATGTTTCGGTACAAATTTCGCTGTGAGATCCAACACGCGTTCCTGCACTTTCGTTTCCGCCCATATCTGTGTGGCTGATGAAAAGTAAGGTTAACGAAAACAGCATGTGTCCACACCTCTGTTTGGAGTGGTGTTCTGGCGATAATTGCATCGCGTGATGATGCTTGTGCCCACGTAACAATTGGTGTCTGACCTGGCCTGCGTATCGCCATTGGTCAGCTCAGCCGAAAATGAGCTTAGTCCATCAATGTATCGTAAGCACCGAGGATACAGAGTTAGCTGGGCATAGAATTAGCCAAGCCGCAATCTCGACAGCCATACCACCGTTAATAGACGCTCACTGACTGCACTTTCTGCATCGGCCTTTAAAGCTTAACAATGGACTACTTCTTTTATCCGTGCAATATATATACGTGTCTTTCACGCCTGCCTGCGCACATCTGTGTCCATCTGTGTCCATGCGGTCGGCCTCTGTGCGTCTCTCTGCGTCCATGTACCTCGTGGCTTAAGCGCCCCCCTGTGCACTTGCTCGGCCCACCCGTGCCTCCGCCGCCGTTTCTTGCCTCGGTCTCTTGTCTTTCCATCGACGTGCGCTCGCGCTGGCCTCCGTGTCCCCCGTCGTGTCGACAGGCCCGCAGACTCCTGCGCCACCTCAAGCACCAGAAAAAACTCAACGACGCCGCGACCGTTATTCGCGCCTACTGGTGTGGTTTCCAGGTGAGGCCGCTTAGTTCCGTGCCGGACCTCTGTGCCCTGCTGCACACCTAGCCCCTCGACCGGTATCACTACACACTGCTTCACATGGCCCAGGGAGTTGCATCAACGCTGAGAAGGATTTGCATGGCTTTGCATGCCAGGGCCGTTGTAGCTGGTTTGCCTTCATGGTTTGCTTAACTCCGTAAAACGAAGTGATCCGTAACCACTCATATTTGTCACGATCCATGGGCAGATAGACCGTAGGTGTTCACTGCACATTTTCGACGTGATCTGTAGCCACCAATGTGATCCGTAAACACTAACGACTGCATTCATTTCAAGGTTGCAACGTTGGCAAAAGCAGACCATGTGACTAACCACATTCACGAATTCAGTAAATCTAACCTTGCATGGTAATGTATAACTTGCATGGCACTATCATTAACTTGTATTTTGGTGTCCTCGTTTAACCATGACGTCTGTCCAACATAATGGTTTATTTCGCCTCTTTACACTAACTGCATGTGAATGAAATACAGTTTAACTTTTCCCCCACAGGTTTTTCCCCCCACAGATTACAATGTCAGTTTCCACCCCCCCCACCCCCCACAGTTTGGCTTTCCACAAGGAGTGGATTACCAAGACGAACGATTTAATCTTTTTACAATAACCATTGCGTTTATTTATATTTCAGTACTTGTTATGATTCGACAAACAAATTCACCAATCACTTTTTAATTTTATTCGCAATTATTAACCTCGCATTTATTCAGCAGCATTTTCCCCAAACACCACGTCAGGTTATGTAAATGCCAATAACATATAGGCAGTTCAGTTACAAAGTTAAGCTTTTGTAGGGGTATAACCACTCTGAAACGTGCCAGAAATTTATACCACTGAACTAGGCATTCAACAGCATAGCATATTTTTCAATTAAATTTTGTCCATTTTAAAGCATTACAAGGCTGCTCTGACTATAGAAAAACCAGCACGTGTTTTTATTGGTCAGTTTATTGTCGTGACATTTGCGAGCGAGGAGGAAAAAACTGAAGATTGGCCTGAAAAAATTGACTGTCAGTGTAGTTTAGCAAGAACAGTGGAATAATAAATACAGCCTTTCCACGTAAAAAAGACAAAGATGTATCACTACATTGGTGCTTGTTTTATATAATGATTTGTGGTGACAGCTGTGACAAACAGGTAGAGCAAGCTGCTCCTACTCCTGTGCTCTGCTACCTTGTGTATGCCATTGCATAGTAAACCATGGCTCCGTGGATAATGGTAATGGTGAACTGTCGCCCTGTGCATGTGGCACGGTGGAACTTTAGTCTAAATAATGCAGTACCTGAATTATTTGAGCAAAGTCAAGGTCCAAATGTCATCATGGCCAAAGCCGGTGATGCCACCCTACCTCACTAATGCATTCTACCATCTGCCAGATCCTGTAAGCTGCTACAGAGTAGACACATGATCTGCAATATCCACCCCAACATATCCCACCATATGGTCTTAGGCCTTACCCTTGGGCTCCAGACTCATGGAGGCCCTTCCAGCGACCGTCTCAGCAATCCCGGCCCCCCCACGTGCCACCCCCCCCCCCCACCAGTGCAACCTGTTTTAGTTTTATTTCCCAGTCATAGCTGCAACATTTACCTGCCATGTTTTCCTCCAGATTTGTGCATTGCTCATCCTCTTCTGCCACTACATTCCTAGCATCTGCCTCAGACACTTGTGGCTCAAGTTCCCAATAACTTATGTATTTCCAAGCTGCCTGGTTAGGCTTCAGTTCTCTGATCCATACATCAATACAAGTGGTACCCCTACCTCATGCACCATTTTCTTACACTTAGATTGATCTCTTTTTCCCTTCCAAAGTGTTTTCCCTAGCCCCACTACACGCTTGCCCTGCTGAAGCAAAGTGCCTCCTTGACCACCTTCTCACAGCCACCTGCATTACGGACATTATTGCCCAAGTACGCAAGAAATTCATCTGCCACATCAACGTTCTCTCCTCCTACCAGGACCTGCCATCCTACTGCAAGGAGTCCCGTTTCTTATATCTTATATTTATATCTCGCTTTTATCCAAGCCACTTTACAAGGGTTATGAATGGTAAAATTAGGGTAGCTAAAAGTCATATTTTGAATAGGGATGGGGTATGTGGAGGGGGAGGTTAGTGGGTGCGGGAATTACGGTGGGTACCTAGGGATGGATGGGCCAGGGAGAAGAGGTGGGTCTTGAGGGAGGAGCGGAAACTCGACAGTGATGGTTGCTTGCTGCTTAATGTGGAGGGGAAGTTTGTTCCATTGCAATGGGGAAAGTAGGGAATAGGAGCGGAAACTGGGATTGTCCACAAGGAGAGGAGGGAACGGTTATGAGTAGGAGGAGAGATTGAGAGCGGAGGGGACATAAAACGAAACGAGGCAAGCGGAAAGCTTTCCTTGCGATCCCAGTGTCCAGACACAGTCTAAAACTAACACCAATTCTATGGCTCCAAGCCAAGGTCCTAGTCAACAGACCTGCATCATCTCTGTAGTCCCTCACATTCATCTTAGCTGTACAAAACTCCTGGGTTTTCTACTCTGGTCACCATAGTCATGGTGTTTATAAATACAGAGTCAAGCTCAATAAAACAAAAGATGGGAGACAATAATATCACCATGACAAACACCTGTCCTAACATCCAGTCATTCTGATGTCTCGCCCCGAATTCATACACAGGCCTGAGTCCCATCATTCATGTTTTGAAGCAGCCGACTTATCTTACCTGGGACGCCATAGCAGCCTAGCAGTTCCCAGAGGCCTTCCTGGCACACAGAGTCGATGGCTTGCTTCAAGCCCACAAAGGAAATCTAAAGGTTCTCTCCATACTCTCAACTCTTCTCTATCTGCTGTCTTTCAGTAAATATCTTATCACTTGCAGCCCCTCGCTGATCTAAGTCCACACGGATTCTCCCTTAAGTCACTTTATATTTGGACTATTTATTTATAAATATTCTGGTGAGAGTTACTACACTAATTTATATCGCCTGTCATATGCAGTCTTATGATTGCCTTCTTCCAGTCCTGTGACGGCTGTTCCCTATTCTAGGCAGTTTTAATGACCTTGTGTAGCTCGTCCAACAGACAATGGTTCCCTTCAAACTTGATTTGAAGCTTTCGTGACTGCAGGAATTACTCTTTGGTTCTTTCGGTAAAGTCACGTAGAAAGAAAATAATTTAAATAATGGAATGCGACGTTTCGATTGAAACACAAGCAGTCGTCATCAGGTAGCACTATATTTGAGAGAGAGACAAAACACAGACACGGAGACACACAAGCAGAGAGAGACAACACAGAGGCACACTCTGTGTGTCTATGTTGTGCGTCTCTCTCTGTTTGTGTTGCAATCGAAACGTCGTATTCTATTATTTCTTTTCTTTTCTTTCTACGTCACTTTACCAAAAGAACCAAATAGTGTTTGTCCCCTTCTTTAAGACTTTTTTCAGCATTGCAGGTTTATTTATATACGCCTTAATGGCTATTACAGCACGCACATTTGTTCAGGTATTGATTACATTTATCATACAACTGAAATCACCCGTAGCATTGTGTTGCTTTTAAATAATCGAAACCCATGCACACTGACGTCCGTTCATGTGAGATCGCTTTTAAGTGCTCCGAGGCAACGTGTATGAAGCTGTAAGCTGTGCCATTGAATTTTAGTGTATTCGGAGTGTTTGTGGCTTCACGGCGTGACGGCTGGATTCTAGGTTCGACGGCAGGTGAATCAGAGGAAGGAGCTTGGAAGACGCAAGCATGCAGTGGCTGTAATCTGGGCATACTGGACAGGGCACAAGGTGGTGTGGCTGTATGCTGCGTTCTGCTATGTGTTACTGTGCCGAGCTCACATGTATTCTGCTGTGCTGTTCTATGCTGCTGCTGCTGCCGTGGGCTGTGCTGTCCTTTGCTTAGCTCTGCCATGCAATATTAAATTGCGCTGTGCTGTGCTTTGCCGTTCCGTTCTTTGCCTTACACTGTGTTGACCTTGGTAGTCATTGCGTAGACTCCAGTGAGGTTTTGTCAAAACCACAAGTGTTTATTTTTTTTAATGGAATAACTTGCACCATAAATCATGTAATGCACCTGACTCCCACACAGCAACTTGCCCCTGCAGCTAAGCAGTTTGATGTTCAGACACCTTAGAGGGAACAAATTTCAACTAAAATGTAATAGCATTTTTTGCTCTCAGCTGACCTGGTGTTTTGTGTTGCAGGTGTTTTGTATGTAAACATTGACACTTGAGTGCTCATCCAAACTCTTGTTTGCCCTCTAATGCTTTCCCATACATACGTGTGGATTGGAGGCAAGGTGACTCTGTATTAATCAAAACACTCCCGCAAAACATTGTGCAGGTGTGATTGGTATACGGGATCGCACTGGTTAAATGAGTGAAGAGAACGTTCCACCTTTTGTAGGAATTATCTCGGTGCAGATGTGCGTAAGGTATAAATCGCACAACCAGAGGGCTGCTGATGTGCTGGGCTGGTCTATTACTTACACTGAAGAGGAAATGCTGATGTGGGATCGCCTTAAGAATGTGCATCCATGCAATTAACATTCCCTCGCATGTAGGCATTGCTTCGGCCTAGTGCATTGACTTTTGGCGGTCATGTGAGGTCCATCAAATACAAAAAAAACTTGAACAAATTGTGGGGTCCTTGAACAGCATTCTCTCTGTATTTAACTTTCTTTGTTAATCTAAACCCACGTGTGTGTAAGCATAGCTCATGTTATGTGAACACAAACATTACTTTTCTGTACACTAACCAAATAACAATTCCTTACCTTGTTTTCTTTTTCAGGACATTTGCATGCTTTGTGACAATAACAATTTCAAGTGCGTTATATTGTCAACAGTTGCATTTCCTTTGCAATGCGGTAGAAGGTTGACTGATGTTAACCAAACAGATTTAAATCCACGGAGATAAAAAAAAATGAGCGGATGCCACCGCTAAATAATTTAATAAATCGCGTTGTCATTCTGCACGAGAATGAAAGTGGGGGGGGGGGGGGGGGGCAAAGTATAAAAATAAAAGCGAAGAGGCAATATCTGAAACCACAAATCAACAGCGTGCAATTTAAATCGCGCAATGAAGAGGCAGACGGAATGCTTTTTCAAAACTCCGCTTGATAACGAAAGACAACAAAGACATATACAGTGCGGGAAAAAAAGTATTTGATCCCCTGCTGATTTTGTACGTTTGCCCACTCAACAAATAAATGATCAGTCTATAATTTTAATGGTAGGTTTATTTGAACAGTGAGAGACAGAATAACAACAAAAAAAATCCAGAAAAACGCATGTCAAAAATGTTCTAATTTGATTTGCATTTTAATGAGGGAAATAAGTATTTGACCCCCTCTCAATCAGAAAGATTTCTGGCTCCCAAGTGTCTTTTATACAGGTAACGAGCTGAGATTAGGATAACACTCTTAAAGGGAGTGCTCCTAATCTCAGTTTGTTACCTGTATAAAAGACACCTGTCCACAGAAGCAATCAATCAATCAGATTCCAAACTCTCCACCATGGCCAAGACCGATGCATGCTTGAAATTACACTGAGAGAAAGACATAGATTAGGTAACAAATGCAAAAATAGATGCATCATATTGACCGGTCAGGAAGGTAAGTGGGCTTGGGAAAGACACTTCATGAGAATGGATGATAGCCGGTAGACGAGACCAGTCGTGGAATGGCAGCCAAAGGAGCGAACACGCTTGAGATGATGAGCACCATTGAGATTAAGTGAATGAGGCGAGCTTACATGCACATTGCAAGACTGAGGCAGGGCAACAGGGTGGGGATGCCTTCATCCAACAGCGGATAAACCATAGCTAATGATGTTGAATGTGTTCCCATACAACATTATATATTATTTACCAACTCCTTTATATCCAAGTAAGGTCCTGTGGGATATTGCAGCGTACATTGGACGGGTAATATTCTATTGCAACTCAAACGTAGTTGTGGATCGTCATTAAACTGGAGTTGGAATAAACACCATGACTTGGTGACAAGTCATGGTGTTTATTCCAACTCCAGTTTAATGACGATCCACAACTACAGACTGCTACCTTGTGCTGCCCTGCAGGCTGCCACCTTGTGCTGCCCTGCAGGCTGCTACCTTGTGCTGCCCTGCAGGCTGCCACCTTGTGCTGCCCTGCAGGGTGCCACCTTGTGTGCTGCCCTGCAGGCTGTCACCTTGTGCTGCCACCTTGTGCTTGCTGGCCGGCAGGCTGCTTGAGCGGCAGCCTTTCGAACTTATCGAACTTATTAGCCACATCAGCGGCTCCGACCTATTAATAAACTCCGCGTTCAAATCCAATTAAATTTGTTTTATACATTTGTGGCGCCCATTGGAAAACATAAACACACTGAGATCTCTCAGAATATTGAAGTCAGCACCCCGCCCAAAGTCAAAATCCTGGCTCCGCCCTTGCCATACAGTCATAACATCCACTAAGAATAACCATTTCTCAGGCCCTACATAATATATATTTGAATTGTGCTTCTTTCCAGGCATGAACCACTGACTAATGCCCGTTTAAAACATTTATCAAATGGAATCCATACATTTATCGTGCAAATATGCATACACTTACGTATTTCATGACTCTATAACACAAAGCTCTAGTATATGGTACAAGACTGCGATGCACGCAGGGTATTAAAAAACGAGGATGCACTGAATTCATTGTGCATTCTGTAACCTGGAGCAGGAGCGTGCGGCCAGGGGAGGCAGGGGAGACAGGGGAGGCAGAGCCTCACCCGTCACACTCCAATGAAAATAGCTGTTACGAAAAGTAAAAAAAAGAATCATCAAATAAAATAAATATTAAGATTTTTTTCCACTGATCTGTGTTATAAATGTCATTTCTGTACGATTCCAATCAATTTTTATAGTCAGAAATCGCCAAATTTGCAGAGCTCCGCTGCAAATACAGGGAGAGACGAGAGGTGAGGCAGCGACGAGCTCAGCCTCCCCTCTGATTGTGCAAACCCCCAGTAACTGGATGGAGCGCGGGCAATAAGCATGTGCCTGTTACTATCTCAGTATGTCACCAATGTAATGTTTGTAGACCCCTTCATTTCATGTCCTCGCCTTCCATACTCCAGGTAACTTATTTCATGTATGTGTATAAGGATATTTAGGCTCGCTGGTCTTGTCATGAAACTGCAATGAAAAAGAACCAGGGGAGGCAGCTATCACATCTGCCTCACTGAGGGGGACGTGTCTAACACGCCTGCCTCAGTGAGGCCACGCCCCCTCAGTGAGGCCACGCCCCTCAGTGAGGCCACGCCCCCTCAGTGAGGCCACGCCCCCCCTCAGTGTGTGAATCTGGCTCTGACACTAGCCAGTGCCTCCCCAGCCATTGACCTCACCGCACGTCACTGACCTGGAGTAAATTACGGAGCCATGCGACTCAGTGGTTCCATCATTTTCATGCATGGAAAATTCTAAGTCACGCAAAAATCCGCCTCTAGTTGTCTTGTCAGATAATTGGTAATTGGTGTGTGTAACACTTGCTTACTGTACTCTTTGGTTCTTTCGGTAAAGTCACTTAGGTAGAAAAAAATAATAATGGATCACGACGTCTCGATCGCCACACAAGCAATCGTCTTCAGGTGGGACAGAGAAACAGGCTGCTGAAACGAGTCCTAATATACCTTATATATAGAGAGCCGGGAGGGGGGGGGGGGTTGCCGCATCGGGCAAGAGGGTGGGGGCTAGAGATTGTGCCTAAGCAAGTGGGGGGGGGGGGGGGGGGAGTGATGCGGAGAGCTGCGAGAGCTGAGGAGGTGACCTTTGTATTGTGAGAGATTAGCACAGGGGTGGGCACATTTTTTGACTCGCGGGCCACAATGGGTTGTAAAATTTGACAGAGGGGCCGGGCCAGGAACAGATGGATGGAGTGTTTGTGTGAACTAATATAAATGACATGTAAAAATCATTACATGAAAGGATTTGGCCTTTAACAGGTAGCAAAGCATTTATTTGCAAGGCAATTTAACAATTTTCACAAACTTGAATACAAAAACATGTCGTAACTCCCGGTCAAAGTGCGCCATCTAATGGGGAAATGGGGGCATTACAGGAGAAAGGTAAAATTTAATTTAATAATAATATTTGGACAAGTTCGGCGGGCCGGATTAAAAAGCCCAACGGGCCGTATACGGCCCGGGGGCCGTACTTTGCCCATGTCTGGATTAGCATTTCAATGTAAACAACGCAACGGGTGTCTGTGCTTACTAACTTTCGTTTTGCTTGTTTGTCTGAGCCTGCGCGTCTCCAGTGATAGTGAATTCTTGTAGTGTTGCCAGGCGCAGTGTTTTTGGCGAAGGAACGGCAATTTCCATCCTTTCGGCTGCTTCTAAGAATCGCTCTTGTCAACACGTGTACCCCTGACCCCTGACCCCAACCCACCTGGGCAGGTGCGGAAGGCGCATCGGAAGCACTTCAAAGGAAATGCCGGCAAGAGGATTTACGATTTCTTGATTCTCTGCATCGTGAGTACAACCCCAAGTGACGGTGTAACCACTGTAAACTTCTGAGTGAGATGTATAGGAGCAGTACTGTGGTGGTAAGTGCACTACACTGTGATCCCAGCAACTTGGGTTAAATTTCCAGTTATGGAAAACGTCAGTGACATGTGGTAGCTGAACCTATCCTGCCCTCTCAGTGCTTTAATGACCTGAATAGGTTTTCATTAACAATGCTTTCATATATAATCTATAGAGCATTGTCTTGTGTGTGCACATGCGTGCACATTTATGCCCAGTATGATGTTGATAATTACAATGTTCCATGGCTTGGATTTGAGTCTTAGCTGTTCAGATAAGGAGAATATATGTTGGTAGCAATATCTGGGATAAATACATTGTCTTATTTTAATTATTTTCATAAGCAACTTCAAGGTCCAATCCTCTTGACATCCATTTTTTATTACCTTTTTAATGCTTTAACATTTGTTTGCACCCAAAATGAAAATTAATTAAAGCATTATTCCAAACGTGTGCATATATATTTCAGGCCCCCCATTCAGAGCTCAAAAATTACATTTAAAAAAAAATTACTCTGAGGTAATAAATGAACAGCTGGAAATGTTTGATAAGTAAGCAGTGAAAGTGCCCTTACTGAGACGTGACCTCTCCCATCGTTCGTGGGCAGATGAGGCGATACTTCCTGCGTCTGCAGGACTCGCTGCCCAAGCTGTCTCCCACGGATCGCAAGTGGCCTGCCTACCCCAACTTGTTCCTGGAGCCTGCACACCAGGAGCTGCGACGCATTCACCACCTGTGGAGGGTCAGTGCCGCACATACACAATGTGCTTCGCGCAACTGGCTGGTCACTCGGTGGGAAAATACAAAACTCTCTTCTTATTTTTTTACCGAGGTATAAAGTCCAAAACCTGAGTTACGGTGAAACCCCGATTATCCATGGCCCGATTGTATGCAACTCGCATTTTGGCAGCTCCAAAATGGATCTGTGAAAAACTCCTGTTATCCATTCATTGATTCTCCCGATTATAAGTGATTATTCCACAGATAAGAGTGGTCACTTGGCAGCGGTTGTTTGCTGGCACTATATTCACTCTACAGCACAGCCTCTCAGAGCACGGACTCATTGAGTGATGATTGCACCACTTCAGTATAGGTGCTTATTCTACTGATGTCGGCATAGTTTGGATTTTGTTTAATTCATATTTCCGATGCAGTAATTCATCGCAATTGTCCACTCATTTATGTAGTACACAATACTCAAAAGGACAGAATTGGAAGATATTTTTTTCGTGACCATTGCTACACACTATGTAATTACAATACTAATTAAGATCCTCAGTGTTTAATAACAGGTAAATTGACTATTTTTTTTTATGGTGTCAATTTTTGTAATCTCTTTTGGAAGCCTCACAGTAAAACCTTGGATTGCGAGCATAATTTGTTCCGGAAACGTGTTTGTAATCAAAAGCACTCGTATATCAAAGCACTCGGATATCAGTTGTGATCACGTGACGCTCAGCAAACAAAGTCTATACGTACTACTCGTATTGCAAGACCCTCGCTCGTTTATAAAATTAATATTCACTTAAAATTTTGCTCATCTTGCAAAACACTCGCAGACCAAGTTACTCGCAATCCAAGGTTTTACTGTATATATGTTTCTGTCATCATTCACATTATGTCTATTGCCAAAGACTACAAAGGTATTCGATGGAACAGCAGGGACTTAAAAAAATTCCAACAGCTAGCTAGACTGAGTCACATGCTCCCATATGCCGGTGAGTGGTAAGTGTCGCGGTTTGTGTGCTGCTCTACGAATCCGGCGACCCGAGTTCGATTGCCGCTCATGGTCAACACCAGTGACTTATCTAAACCGTTCCTGGGCCTCCCCTAGTTCTAATGGGTATCTGGTGCGGTGTGTAAACATCGCCACTAGGGCGACAAATGTGGCCGGGCATGGTGCTGGCCACCCCCTTGTGTGCTGTTCCGGCCTTTATCGATTCTCACTAACAGTATTTGCTCCAACAGTCTGATAAGGCTATATGGGGGATATTTGTCTGTGTCTGCAGTGCAAGGTCTACCGCAGCAAGTTTGATGACAAGAAGAAAGCCATCTTCGAGGAGAAACTGTCTGCTAGTGAGCTCTTTAAAGACAAGAAGGCTCTCTACCCAACCACGTGCGTGTGACCACAATGTCCTGGACACCATTTGCACTTTCTTTTACCCAGTGTCATTAAACCTCTATTTTTCACACAACCATTATGGTGTTTGCAGTGCTGGCCAGTGGATACATCTATTGGTGGGGCACAGAAGCCAACACTGGTGGGGGACATAAGCCAGCAAGGGTGGGATGAGGGGAGAGGGGTCGCAGGGTAAAGGAGGGAGGTGTGGGTCATGCGTATGCCGTTCATAATCGTCATAACATGCAGGAAAGTATTTTTTTTTCACACTACTAGTGCCCAAACGACGAGCCGCCATCGGGTATATCTAGCAATGGTCCTGTGAAGATCTTCGATGTATTTTGATGTTTGAATGTGTATTGTCAATCTAAATAATTGTATACCGTTGCAAGGAATTGTACTTTGTCTGTTGTATTTTCCCATGAGTGAATCCGATTCCAAGTCCAGCATCTTTCAATTGTTTGTCCTCTAGAATGTTCCTCCACTTGTCTCCCATCACTAGTTTTCTGTTGGTCAACCCTAGCAGCCATTTAGCTTGTTGCAGTGCAATACATTGTCAATAGCTCAACAACTTCCTACCCATTTGTTCAACATGGATGAATTGGCTATATGCCCCCCTAAAAATATAAGACCTGCCACCTGCAGTATTTTGAACACGAGCGTATTCACTCTTTTGATTCGTATGTAAAAATTTTACAGGCAAAATAATGGAATTTGTAGTGCAGGAAATAATAATGATATATCAAGTATATCCAGGAAAGCCTTACTGGGTCTCACTACTCTACTCTTTTGCAGGAGAGTCTTGCTTTTGGATATTTGGACATTTATTTAGCAATCATTGTTTTACATGTGGGAGAAAACTAGAGGATCCAGAGTAACCCGACTCATACTCAGATATCCACACAGGGTGAGTGAGGACACAATCAATGGCTGTTGCATGTTTCTGGTCACCCATGGAGGTTTTCACAACTCTCGCCTCTATAGAGCTGGATTATATGCACGCAACAACCACGGCCGAGGTCATCACGTTACCTCTGTGTTGGGTCACCTTCTTCCCCTGCACAGGGTGCCGCAGCCCTTCAAGGGCACTTACCTGGATATGACCAAGTATGACAAGCTTGCGACCGCGGTGCCGGGCCCGCACATCTTTGCCGAGAGCATTTTGAAGATCAACCGAGGCAACGGAAAGGTGCAGTTTTTGGCGGCCTTATTGGTTGTCGTAGTTCAGTGAACAGAGCATTTCCAAGACAGGCTCAAGAGTTGCGCACCGCTTTAATTATTGTTCAAGTACTATCGGTTGACCTTGAATATGAGCATTAATGAAAGTACCTTGAGCGCGTGTGAGCACTGTTGTGAATGGTTGTTCGCGGTCTTGTACTTTAGGGTTCGCCACGTTTGGTGGTGCTCACAAAGAAGAATCTGTTTCTGACAGACAAGTCGGGGCAGGTGAAGTCAGAAATTGCTTTGAAAGAGGTCACGGGTCTCTCTCTCAGCAGTCTAACCGATGGCCTGTTGGCTCTACACTTAAAACAGGTATGCATGCATGTGTGTACTTGTGTACGTACTGTACATGTGCACCCAGGTCGACTCAGCCTCAATGAGTATCTGGTGTGGTGTAAACATCACCACTGGGGAGACAAAGGCGGCCGGGCGTGGTGTTGGCCACCCACCCCTTCGTGTGCTGTGCCGGCCTTCATAGGTGCTCGCTAACAGCACTTTTTTTCGCCCCAACAGTTTGTTAAGGCTATACGGGGGATCTTTGTCTTCGTTTTAGCTGGGCACAAGCGCTGTGGTGACATCAACGTCAATTACTGCCATATGTTGCCTGTTGTTGTTAATAGAGGTTAACTTTATGTGTTTATATTTTATTACATTGCATTTTTTATGTTGATCTTCTTTCGAACCGTACGTTGCCAACCGTGCTAATCGGAGGTGTGTGTATGCATAATAACAGTCACTGGTGATGCCAGTTCTCCATATGAGTGCATGTGTGCAGACATCAGTGGGAAGAACGCAATTTAAAACTCAAGGTTGCACACAATATATGTCAATTCACCTCTTTTGACCAACTTGCGGCTAAAATAAAACACTGCTAAGGTATGTTTGTGTATTTGTGCATATGTAATTGTGGAGAACGGTAGAGTAGCAGTTAGCACACTCTGCTGTGAACGCAGCGACCTGAGTTCAATTACCGCTCATGGTCAACATCAGTAATGATTATCAGAACCCTTCCTGGGCTTCCTCTAGGTCGACTCAACCTTAAATGAGTACTTGGTGTGATGTGTGAACACCGCCACTAGGGAGAAAAAGGTAGCCGGGCATGTGCTGGCCACCCACCCCCTCGTGTGCTGTGACAGGCTTCATGGGTGCTCGCTAACAGTACTTTCCCCTACAGTCAATACTATACCGGCATATTTATCCATGTAAGTAATGTTAAAGACCATCGCAATGCCTCCTTCCACAGGGCACCACGGCAGCAGGCAAGGGCGACTTTGTACTGAGCAGTGAGCATGCAATAGAGCTCATCACCAAGATTCATCGTGCGGTCATGGCGAGCAACAAAGAGAAAATGGAGATAAAAATCTCCAACGAGTGAGTTACTCCACTACAGCCGCTCAGCAGCCCACAGTTCCCTGGGTACTTGGCCAACTGCGTGACATACGCTGTCGCTTATTTCATATGCTGCGGTATTAGTTTGTGGTCACGCACGTGTACCATCGCTGTCGTACCTTTGTTGTTCGCAGGTTTCCAGTGCGTTTTAAGGAAACGCAGGTTAACGTAAGGATTTCCCCGTCGGGCCAGAGCAACGGGGCCAAGCTGGTGTGCAAGCGGAAGGGCACGGGACTGGAGGTCGCCATCTAGAAACGCAGCTGCCATCATCTCTCCTCACACCCTACTTGTCGCCCCTAATTTTTTCCCCATTCCCATTGCATCAAAGCTGGCAGATTAAGTGAATGCGAACAGAGAGGGCCATAACGAGATCTTATTTTTTTAAGTAAATGCATTAAGCAGGGATAGATTGTCAAGGTGCCACATGAAGAAATGTCTACTGAGATGGGGTTTTTTTGGAGTTAGTACTGAAGTCCGAATTACTATGGTAAATGGTAAAACAGTAAAGGCCCTGTCTTTTGCACATACACAGGGGTGCCTTTTAATGTTTCTGTCACGGTTTACATAGAAATGAACGGCAAGGGAGCATTGAAGTAGAAATTAAAATGGTAGTGCCCTCCACAACTGTCCTGTTGAGACATTTGTAAATGATCGATAAAGAATGACATGTAATCATATAAAATGTCTATTTTTGAATCGTTTTTGTAAACGTTGATAGGCAAATGTTATGAAAAGTAGATGAATTTACATAGCTATTGGAAACTCAAATATCTTTTCAGAACAAACTGCTATTGACATTATAAAAGTGAGGGCTGTTTCTAAAAAATGCCAAATTTAAGTCATGTAAAGGTTCATGTGTTTTTTTTATTTTATTTTATGTAATTTCGATTTTATGTAGATGGAAATTAATTTTCATTCCCTATTTTAAGTTTAAAACATACGTTGAAAAACATTGAATAAAATGTATGATGACTATACTGTAATTGAAGATAGTAATGTACTTGATAGAAACGTGCTGCCAGTTTCACATTGTTCACTTGTTACTGATGAAGATTTACTCAATGATTAGTACCATAAGTGGTATTACTGGTACCATAATTGGTATTACTGATGTAATAATAAAAATTTTGAACTATTATGAATACGTTCAGAATGTCTCATTGAATAAATACAGTATGGTTCATATTTCTTTTTTTTAACCTGACAATTGCAAAATTAAAGCTATTTTACGAATACACTACAGCAGTTGGTCATGTGATGGTTTTTTTCTCACAGTGATTGGGCACTTTTAACTTTTATAAAATGGTATCAGCTTAACACCTGAAGATAGCTACATATCTGCTGTGGTGGATGCCAGCACATTGAGTTAGCGATGATAGTTGGGATGAATACGTTTTAGAAAGAGATTTCTGGTTTGGAAGAACATTTTTTGTTAAATCAGTGTATTTTTTTAGGGTTATGCAATACCAAATAGAAACTGAACAACAAAAATGATTGGATTAAGTTGATAATGTACCACCCTATAAAATTAGCAGTGGTGTCTTAAGACATGCAGAGAATTTCCCTGCTAATACAATGAAGCAGCTTTTGTCCCGCTTGCAATACCTATTTGAGTCCTTTATGTAAATGTAGGATTGTTATGAAGGTAGCCAGTCGATCCAATTTGTGGGTTTACTCTCAAACGCACCGGTGTGCCGAAGTAGTGACTAATTGGCACGTTTTGTTTACATGACAATCCTTACTAATTGGCCGTGTCGGGTGGTGGCGGGTTTAATGACATTCATATTTATGCGATATAACCCAAAAAAAAACTTTATTATGGATATTAGTTGCAAAAGCCTACGTGTTAAGTTGACCCTTGACTGGCATTTGAACCCACAGAGTTTAGTGCTGTTGACCAAAGTACAATGCAGTTAAAACAATATTTTGTATGTTACCTGAGCATTACATATTAAGTATACCAACATTCTAAGAACAATAATGAAAAGGCCAAAACGCATAACTTTGTTTCTTTTCTGTTATTGGTGATGCGTATATATTCTCTAGAGTGTAAATAATTCTACTCTGAGCTCCACCATGGCATTGATCATTTTGTTTTTCTCAAAAAAGATATAAATGTTCTTGCATGATTTGAAATGTGACATTTGTTATACACTATATAGACTACAAATTTAACTATTGTTCACCATTTCACCAGTTGTAATACTATCACATTTCCTATCAAGCTAGACATTTAATCACAATGCATAGTTTAAATTTCACTTTGTTCATTACATTGCAAATACCTTTAGTTTACATTCGCATTACTTACTAAGAACAAATGTGTTTTTTTATTTGATTTAACAAAATTAGTAATTACTATGGAAGCTAACTAAATATGCTCACAACAATCAATTGAATTTTGATTTAAAGCTTTCGTGACTGCAGGGATTCATATTCTTGGTTCTTTCGGTAAAGTCACCACGTAGAAGGGACTCTACGTGACTTTACCGAAAGAACCAAGAATACCAATCAATTGCTTAGTTTTTCAGATTTTTAGTTCCAAGAGATAATAAAGCATTTAGCTTATGGTGAAGCATTTAGCTGTATTATACAGTTGTAACATTACAGACTGATATACAATTATGAGCCATTGTACACAACACGTGAAAATGTGCCAAACATTTTTGACAAAACATCAAATTTTTCCTACTATTTGGCTGTGGAGACGATGTGGTTTTAACATTCTATTTTTTTTTTAACTTAACAGAATATTCTATGTTCAAATATATAATGCATGCTCGGTGCTTTAATGGTTTGTCATTTGTTATTTTCATATGCCCATTGTATTTGGATACCCCTACTGATGTCAACTGCTATTCCGGTCAAATGAACCACAGTTCTAGAATGGTTTTATTCATTTAAATGTATAATTTTTCTCATTTAAATAGTTACACTCTTGTCACCGCCCCATTGTAATGGTCAATAGAAATAACAAAGTAAGGATCACAACACTATCTCACAGGCAAATGCATTGTGTTCGATAAAGTAGAAACAATATTACAAATACTACCACATTAATTATGGCGGTCTATGGCTTAAGATTGCAGAGCATGGACATGGTAGTCGTGCCCGACACTGCCTGGCCATCTTTACAGCATCGAAAGTGATAAATGTGGCGTCAGATGCCCGTTATGGACTGAGTTATCTATTGTGATACCAGTCGAGATGTAAATAGTTTCCAGGGCATATGAGACATTGGAGCTGAATTGCATTGCACAATATTATCAGTGCAGCAAACACAAATGGGCAGTCTTTCGCTTCCCAAAATAATTCAACATACCATATACCATTTTGAATCCAGTGCTGTATTAAAATATGGTATTATTAAGACTGTCCCTTCATAATACGCCTGCTTAAGATGTGATTTGATCAATGCCTAGTGGTATCTGATTTTATACACCATTTGCGCATATTATTTCTCACTTTACAGTGCCCTGCGATGTGTCCCATAGTCATTTCTGCCGAGTAAGCTTGCTGATTGTTCACTATGCTGTAATAAATGCTGGTGATGTACTGTGCCTATTCTGCCAGGTTTTAGCAACACACGCTGGCACATTGTTTTGACTGCACTGCAGGGACGAATAGTGAATGCTGCAGTGACTGCAATGTGTCTGGTTCTTACTCTGGAGGCCCTGGAAACCTCATACAAGGAAGGGCATTGTCCGCAAATGTTATTATGGTGAAGCACATTGCATAGATATTTCAGTGAACGAAATTGCTGACAACCCACACTGCATCGTATTCTTCGTACAACAAAGTAATTTGGGGGATAAAATGGGTTTTTGTATTTTGTAATTATAATTAGAATTTAATTAATAGCGTTTAATATTGCACTTTTGTGAAATTGTCTTCTCTTGAGATTGCTAATAGTGCAGGCCACCAGCCACCCTGCTGAGCTCTCCATGCAGCACGAACAAGGCTGGGCCGCGGGGTTGTAGTGCATCGTGCATTGAGCGTCAGCATGGTACTCAATTCTTAACCAATTTTAAAGTCAATGTCCAAATCTCAAAAAATATCAAAAATATTTAGGTGTATATATACCTACATTGGGTCTCATATATATTTTGTTGTTGTTACTTTGTCCATGGACCTTAATATTGGTTGTAAATGAGCATACCTAAATACTGTATTCTATGTTTTATGTTAGTTAAAATTGTAACACTTTTAAGGAAATGTTATGTATGATTAAAGGACAACACATCAAAGTAATTTTTTTTCGTAGTTTAACATGTTTCCGCATGTCATGTTGATCTACTTTGGTGAAAATGAGATCCATGAATCGTGATTGTTAAATTCTTCAATTAATAGTTGCGTAAATGTTGTTTTCTTTATACAATGTGTGAATTGTTGTAATACTGTGTAATTTGAAAATACAGCTAGTATATGACAGTATTGCCTGTACCTTTTTACACCTGCAGTATGGTTTGACTGTGAAAAACGTGAACGGTCATGCGTTGTATGTTTGTGGCGGCAATAGGTTTATCAGATTATCATTCGCAAGGTAGGCAATGTACGGTGCAAAATAAGTGCCACATACACATACGTAGTATTTTCCTGCGCGACACTTAAAACAAATTGCATTCCAAACAGCTATATAACTTTAGTGTTTTTGGCAGTGACTGCTGTTAAAAATCTGTATTTCAGATAAACACAAATACTGTATTTTGTAATTGGACTCATGTTTGATTCCTAACAATATTTTGTTACGATACTTTTATAGGCCACTTTTAACTTGGTTTCATAGTTAAAAAAAATAATTTAGAAATATTAATTCTGATACGGTAACTGCATTTATGAGGTCTGCTTGCCACACTCCACTTGTAAAAAATGCGTATGATTTTGGCTATAGTGGCGGTGTAGTGGGCAGACCTTAAATGCCACATTGTGATGATGTGTGTAGATATATAAATCCACAACTCTTCGTGAAAGCAGCAAGTCAATGCTTGTGACAATTTTACTAATATTACAATAGTGATTTGAATACATTTCTCAATTGAGGGGGGGATTAATTGTGAATAGGTTGGAGGAGTAGAGTAGTGGTTAGCGTGCTGTGCTGTGAACCCAGTGAAACGAGCTTGTTTCTGGCAATGGTTAACATTCATAGCGAGAGGTATCTGAACCGGTCCTGGGCCCCCCTTAACCAAACTGCACTGACCAGTATGGTGAAATATGGTCGGGTACAGCTTGGTAAGGCCCTTAGCAATAGATTAACAAAGGTCTGTACATTATTACGTACATATTGCGCGCCGTTTAATTTGGGTGCAATTATAACATACTCTGAAAGCATATGCATTGTCTTTGAGACTAGGCTCGAAAAAAGCTGTCTCTGGTGTGGACCAATCAGTTTAAAAGACAATGCATCATATTATCAGTGTGTTTTTTGTTTGCATTCTGACCACAAGCATTGTGGTTAATGCAGACATGATTCCTTGTAAAAGGTTTCAGTTTGGTGTTTTAACATCTCAACACAGCTGTTTTGTTGCCAGAAAAAAAGGGGAAAACCTATTCGCATATTTTGGTACTGGCAAAGGAGGTCCCATGATGTAATATAATACCTATTTATTAAACCTTTATTTTATAAATGGCCAGGTGGCTCAGTGGTAAAGTTAAAAGCTTACAATTGGAAGGTTATGAGTAAACATTTTGGTTAGGGGTTGCCTTAGCCCACCATCCCTTCAGGGTTAATAAAATAAGTACCACTTTGCATGTATATCAACAGTGATTGTCCTCTGAAAAGACTCGCCCTCCCCCTCCCCTCATATAAACGTCGAATTTCCATCACCGGCTCAGGGCTGTTAACGGGAGATGAGCACCGCCTTAAAATGCTCATTTGAGCTGGAATTCACGTTGAATTTTACCATCCAAATACCTCGTCTAAATGGTTGTTTTTGTTTTGAGTTTGTAAAAGAAAATAGTGTAATTTACTGTGTAGACTATAACACTAAAGTCGCTGAAAAATACTGTGCATTATTAAGACGTAAACATTTGTACCAATGCGTCTAACAGCGCGAATGTGCCAATCAATGGTGGCGCTCTCACAAGACAAACACAGCTGAGTGTATCCCGCCACCTGGTGGACTTCTGTGAGCGATGCTGACGGGAACTGAATCCTTGAGGCACAGCGAGGCAAATGAAAACCAAACTATGGACCATTCGAAGAACAACAGCTGGCGTTTTGCGCTTCTTCAACGGAGGAGGAACAGCAAAACCACACCGACTGTCTCCTGAAGCCCTCTCGGCGTGGACAGCAGATATTCAGGAGCATCTAGCACCTAGCTCCTGAATATATTGCTGCCTTATGGAATAACTAGCTTTACTACCCGGCTTCTAGGCCTCGGCAAGGTAAGGTAAAAGGTAAAAACAACGAGCCTACCTTTACCCTATATTTTATCTTACCACAATACCATCACTCTACCCTACCTTTTACCCTTTAGCAGGTAAGGTAAAAGGTTAAAAGCAATGAGCCTACCTTTTGCCCTAAAAATTGGCCGATTATAGGGTAATTACTGGGGTACTACACATGAAAAAGGTTTATAACAGGTAAATGCTAGGTAGAGTGCTTTATTCATATAGAATACTCTCGATTATTCCAATTTTACACGCTTTCTTTAAACTCAATCTGTTGTTGTCGTTGTCGTTATTGTATCTTCAAATCTTGTAACTCAATTGTAACCCACTTCCCTATGTGGTTTCGACTGCGAACTTGGTATACTTATGCCATACTGATGACAATACTATATTCAATCATTAAAAATAAAATAAACATTATTTTTTATGTTATGTTTCGGCTTAGGTCTAATTGCCCACGGTCCCCTTACGCTGTGGCCAAGCTTCGGGGCCACTTCCTGGAGTCGTGGAGTTCTTCCATTACTACTAGTACATTTCGTAAAAGCGTGTTTTTAAAAAAAGTTTTTTTTTAATATATATTACTTATTAAATTGAGGCCACGGACTGCGCCACGGAGCTTTTAGCGGTAAACAAGGCACCGTATTTACCGGGTTAATACTTCGCGCTGCCTTTACCCTACCCTTTACCTTACCCCTTGGCATGTCGAAACCTTTACTCTTTTACCCGGTATAAAAGGTAAATTACCTTACCTTGACGAGGCCTACCGGCTTCGCCCGGGACTTGGATTCACCACGCCCGGCCGCCTTTGTCTCCCCAGTGGCGATGTTCACACACCACAACAGTTACTCGTTTGAGACTGAGTCAACCTAGGGGCGGCCCAGGACCGGGACCGGTTCAAATAATCGTCACCGGTGGTGGCCGTGAGCGGGAATTTAACTCGGGTCGCCAGGGTTCGTAGCGCAGCGTAGCGCTAACCACTACACCACCGCTCCCCCACACACACAGACACACACACAGACACAAACACACAGACAGCACGCTAACCACTACACCACCGCTCCCCCACACACACACGCAGACACAGACACACACACAGACAGCACGCTAACCACTACACTACCGCTCCCCCCCACACACACAGACACACACACACGCAGACACACACACAGACACACACAGACAGCACGCTAACCACTACACTACCGCTCCCCCCACACACACAACAACAACCGCCATTCGCCACTAAGTGGCGGTGACGTCACCACGACGCTTGTGCCAGGCTATGTGCACCCTGAGGCCACGTGAAGTGTCGAACGCCCGCTGGCAGGAGGTCACGGGGCAGACCCAGGAGCCACGGGTCGACTGACTGAGATGACTGGCTGATGCACCACCTGTGCCCCCTACTGTGCCAACCTGCTGTGCTTTAGCCACCCGGCGCTCCGCTCGTTGTTGTGAGCGTCGCTCCTCCGCCCTCCGTTGTTGTTGGAGGGCGACTGCCTCCAACTGCCCAGTAGCGTCCATCACGAGCCTCCTCCACAGAGGCCGATCTTGACACCACTGGTACCGGTCATCGGTAAGTCCACTCAGCTCCACGTCCTCCTGTACCACATCACTCCATCTCTTCTCTAGCCCGTGCCGCGCCCGCTTAGCCCCCTCAATCCGGCCAAACAAAAGCTGTTTCGGCATGCGGTGGCTGGGCATGCGGGCTACATGACCCAGCCATCGCAGCCTTCCCCGCCGGAGGAGCGCACCGATGGGACCTTGCCCAGATCTTTCAAGGATTTGTGAGCTCCTCAAACAATCCAGTCTGGTTAAACCCAGGATGGATCGTAGGCAGGCCAGCCTAAATGTTTCTAACCGGCGAAGATGTTCCATTAGGGGGGTCCACGTTTCGCAAGCGTAGAGAAGGGAGGAAATTACCGTGGCCGAGAAGACTTGAAGCTTAGTGCGGAGCGACAGACCAGGTAGCTTCCACACAGCGTTACGCAACCGATGAAAAGATAATGCCGCTCGACTGATTCGGAGTGAGACCTCTGCTGTTAAACTGGAGCCAGTCATAAGCACACTGCCCAGGTATGGGAAACTCTCCACTCTCTCCACAACTGCCCCATCACCGATTGGGAGTTGTGGGGGTGGAGTGTCCGATGGTACAAAATACCCAGGCAGGTGCTTAGTTTTGGTGGGGCTGATGGTAAGGCCCCACCTCTTAGTGGCATGCTCCAGTCTCAGCAGCAGCATCTCCAACTCCTCCTCTGACTAAGCAGCTATTACCAAATCATCAGCATACATAACATGGTTGAGTAATAGGGAGCCATTCCTTGACCGCACCCGGGCATCGATCAGCCTCCCATTATATCTGTACCATATGGAGATTCCCCCCGTACAGCTATTGAAGGCTTCACGAACTACGTGGTCAAAATCGATGTTAAATAATGTGGGAGCCAGAGGACATCCCTGTCGCACCCCAAGGTGTACAGGGAATGGCTCTGACTCCCGGCCACGTAGTTTTACCCGGGCCCGCTCACCATCATGAAGGTCCTTAATGATCGTGAGCAGAGGGTCAGGTACTCCAAAAGCACGAAGAACGACCCAGAGCCCAGGCCTACTGATGGTATCATAGGCCTTGACCAGGTCAATAAAGCAGAGATGTAGGTCTTGTTGGAATTCCCTACACCTCTGCTGTAGCAGACGGACAGAAAATATGGCATCTGTGCAGAACCGCCCTTTCCTGAAACCGCATTGGGGCTCCGCAAGCCTCTCCTCAGCGTGCCTGGCAAGGCGATGCTGAATAATCCTTGCCAGGACCTTTCCCGGCACACTGAGGAGTGAGATGCCCCTGTAGTTGTTACAGTCTGTGCGGTCCCCCTTCTTAAAAAGGGGGACCACCAGGGCATCCTTCCAATCATGCGGAACCCGTCCAGTGGTCCAGACTGTTGTTATGATGTCATATAGGGCAGTCTGTGCACAAACGCCACCCTCCCTCAGCATTTCGCTTGGGAGATCATCTCTGCCCGCTGCCTTTCCTGGTCTCAGACTCCGGATCGCCTTCAGTACTTCCTCAGCAGATGGCACCTCAGCCAGCCACTCACAGGGGGTGACTTCTTCCAGTATTTGAGGCACCGCAGCCTCAGCAGGGTCATCCTCACTTTGTGCCACGATGTTTTCCTGGCTGAGGGATTTTCCCTCCCCCAGGACCTCACAGAAATGCTCAGCAAATCTGCAAACCTGTTCCTGGGGGTCGGAGATTGGATCACCGTTTTTTCCCCTAATGATGGTAATAGGTGTGGCGCTGCAGGTTACTTTTTTGATGGAGTTAAATAGAGATTTGTGATCACGGGCCACTGAGGCAGACTCCATCTCCTCAGCAACCCGCGACCACCACCCATCCTTGCAGCGCCTCACGGCTCTCCGAACCTCCGAGCGAAGGCTGCGGTAAGCCTCCACATTCTCTGACGTGGGATTCTGTAGCCGATGACAGTGGGCCTGTCGCTTTTTCTCAACCATCCTGAACACCTCCTCTGTCAGCCAGGGTCTCTGGGGAGGTCTGGACCGTGTACCTAAAGCAGCCATTGCAGCTGCATGAGTCACAGTCCTAAACCTCGCCCATTTACCCTCGACATCAGGAGGAGTCAGGGACGATGCCAATCCCAGCCGCAAGCGATGATGAAATTCTCGCTTGCAACTTTAATCAGATAACTGAGACCAGGCCACTTTAGGTCGGATGGGGTCCTGGGTGTACACCCACCACCGGAGTGGAAGAATGGCAGGCGCATCTTACAGATGACTAGTCGATGGTCAGAGGGCAGATCAGCTCCACGGTAGGTCCTGGTGTCAAGAACATGGGCTCGCATTCGCTGGTCCGTCACTATGTAGTCCAGCAGATGTTCTTGCTTGGACCTGGCATGCATCCATGATGTTGTGTGTATGCGCCGATGCCGGAACAGCGTGTTGGTAATTACAAGCCCATGGGCTGCACAAAAATCTAGCAGCCTCCTACCGTTGTTATTGAGCTGATCTGGCCCATGCCCTCCAATTACTCCAGACCAGGTGCCAGTATCATGACCAACTCGGGCATTGAAGTCACCCAACATGATGACTCTATCCCGAGGGGCCACTTTAGCCAGCACCTGTGACAGGAGGTCATAGAAGGCATCTGACTCATCGGCTTTGCCTGCATCCCTCCACGGATGTTCATCTTCGGTGGGGGCATACGTAACCACGACCACCATTCCTCGCCTTCGGTTGATGGGAAGGCGAGCCCAAAGTAGCCTGGGGCTTACAGCTTCCCACACCTCACCGCCACGCTCCCACGCCCCCTTCATTCTTTTGTTCAAAAGAAGACCCACACCCTGTTGTTTGGCAGTCTGCTGCCACACACACACACAGACACACACACAGACACACACACAAACACACAGACAGCACGCTAACCACTACACTACCGCTCCCCACACACACAGACACACACACAGACACAAACACAGCACGCTAACCACTGCACTACCGCTCCCCCCACACAAAAGATCCCCCATATAGCCTTAACAGACTGTAGGGGCAAGTGCTGTTAGCGAGCACACACAGACACACACACAGACACACACACAAACACACAGACAGCACGCTAACCACTACGCTACCGCTCCCCCCACACACGCGCGCTAACCATAGGTACACGTACACGCGCTTGCTGCAAACACACACAACTTTCAGGGTGCGTACGGCAGTAAACGACTGAAATAATAAACCAATGCTGTAAGAAGAACGCCTTAGACCTGCAACACATTTGTATTTCACTTTACCCGCGGAGGGGGGGGGGGGGGGTGCGTGACGTCAGCAGGCACACTGCGTGACGCTTCCGCATGCGGGTGACATCACAGATGTGACGTCACAGCTCACTTGCCGTGCAAAATACATCCATTATTGCGTCCCCCCCCCAAAAAAAAAAATACAAAAGTCTATTGTTATAATTTTTGCATGGTGTACAGTCTGGAAAGTTCCCACATGGCAAATTTCAAGTTTGTTGCATGTCGGGAAGTACGCCAACCATTTCAACAGACACATTTACAAATTTCCATTTTATATATAGTACTGTACAGGGTGGTCCAGATGCCTTGTGATGCTCAAATTAATTAACCCCGAACATTTTTTACTTTGCATATTAATTTGTGTTTTAAATAAACCTTACTTTTAAAAGATTACGTTTTAGAGAATGAAATGGGGGTCGCAAGACATCTTGACCACCATGTACAGCGAAAAAATAAATGTGTTAAACTGTTGTGAAAATGAATCACATTCATCGATCATCTTTTCGTAAATATAATAGCATGCGTGCGAGACACATCAAAAGTTGTCCAACTTAACACATTCCTGCGGAGGGAGCTGGTAGGAACGTTGGGTTGCTCGGTCAATGGCCAGGGTCAACGGCGGCACCACGTGGTGTGTTCCGCACAATATGCCCGACTGTGAGGGCGGGCACAAGCCGGCGTGAGTAGGTTAAACGTTGAGTTTTATAAGGGCACCACGGGGTGACCAGCCACTCCCCACCCAGCCCCACCCCTCCCACCACCCAGCCCCTCCCCACCTAGCCCCTCCCCACCCTCCCCTCTCCACCCAGCCCCACCCCTCCCATTTTTGGATGCACGACGGACGGACACAATAATCCCCTGTGGGCTGGTGGTGTAACCAGTAGATTCCTGCCAGTATTACCCTTACCAGTAAAGCGATATCTCATGCGCTGTTAAAGTGGCACCTCGTTTCGGTAATTTGTCGGAATACTGGTACGGTGTTCATGACTCCACTTTACCTATTATTATCATCATCTTGACTATGGTAAAGTGGTGCAAGGCACGGCTATAGTATTAGATATCGTGGGTACAGGCGCAGCCCTGCAAGTGCAGCTCTCTACGCCACTGTTGGCGGAAGGGCCTCCACTTAAGATGTATACTCTTCCACGCCGTTTCAGGCAACTTTGAAGATGTGCGAGTACCCACACTTTACCCCATCTACACGCGACCTTCCGATCGACTAAGGGGCCGTCCATAAATGACGTCACGCACCTAGGGGTGGGGTCAGACATTTGTGACGATGTGTGAGAAATGTGACGTCACATCAAAATGCGCAACTTTATAAATAAATACAGACAACACGTTCTACTTAATTAAATAGACTTTTTAATAAATGTTTTCTCCCACAACATCAGAGTGCAGCGCCACATTAAATACGCACTAGAATGACAAATAGTTTAAAGCGATTTGAAGCATCTTCTTTGGTTCTTTCGGTAAAGTCACGTGGAATGAGAATAAAATATTTTATCAATTTATTATTTTATTCTCATTCTACGTGACTTTACCGAAAGAACCAAAGAAGATGAATCCTTGCAGTCACGAAAGCTTTAAAACGATTTGAAGCACGTCTTATTTTTTTTGTTTGGGGGGGGGGGCAGAGCTTTGTGACGTCACATTTGAGGGGGGGGGGTCTGACTTTTTGTGACGCCGTGTGACTAGGGGGGGGGGGAGGGGGGGGGTCAAAAATCGTCCAAAATCGCGTGACGTCATTTATGGACGTCCCCAAAGCGTGCTTTATACACTGCTCTATGTTGGGTGGAATAAGACGCGGGGAGATTTAAGGAGCTTGCACCGGTATGTCTCAACTTCCACGCCGGGAGATCGAACCCGGCAATCCTCTGCCATTGCCAAGTCCAGTCTGCGAATCATTGCACCGCGGCAGTGTCTTCTTGTTTCGTTTAATTTGCAGGCGGCGTTAATAATTACAAACGAACGAACGAACTCTCACGCTCTTCCCATTCATTCAAACCTGACGTCGTTTAACAGTGATACGCGCCGCCGAGGTCGATTCGATTCCCGACGATTAACACCTTCCGTAGCGAAAGGCACGAGCTTCGATTCCTCTTGTACATTTAAGGTTAAGAGCCAGAACCTCTGAATCGAATCGATTGTTGTCGGCTATATAAGACGACGACGATATTCGCGATCCGAGGGATTGTTGCGTTACGTACCGGGCTGCTGCGCTGACGAGGTAAAGAGACCCCCCACCACCACCCACCCCCCCACCCCCTATGGGTTTGAGCCGCAATAAACTTTATAGCTAGACTTAAATAACAATAACAACGACGCCGCGTCTCTCATCATAACTACAGCCGAGTCGCACGGCGTTGATTGCTTGCGCGTTCGCGTCTTTCACGTTGCGTTTGCGTAACGCTTCGGAGCGCATCGGCTTATTGCGTTGCGTAAGTGCGCGCAGCACGTGTGGTGGTGTGTGTGTGTTGGTGTGTGTGTTGGTGTGTGTGTGTTGGTGTGTTGGTGTGTGTGTGTTGGTGTGTGTTGGTGTGTGTGTGTTGGTGTGTGTGGTGGTGTGTGTGTGTTGGTGTGTGTGTTGGTGTGTGTGTGTTGGTGTGTGTTGGTGTGTTGGTGTGTGTGTGTTGGTGTGTGTGTGTGTTGGTGTGTGTGTTGGTGTGTGTGTGTGTGTGTTGGTGTGTGTGTTGGTGTGTGTGTGTTGGTGTGTGTGTGTTGGTGTGTGTGTGTTGGTGTGTGTGTGTGTTGGTGGGTGTGTGTGTGTGTTGGTGTGTGTGTGTGTGTTGGTGTGTGTGTTGGTGTGTGTGTGTTGGTGTGTGTTGGTGTGTGTGTGTTGGTGTGTGTGTGTGTTGGTGTGTGTGTTGGTGTGTGTGTGGTGGTGTGTTGGTGTGTGTGTGTGTTGGTGTGTGTGTGTGTTGGTGTGTGTGTGTGTTGGTGTGTGTGTTGGTGTGTGTGTGTTGGTGTGTGTGTTGGTGTGTTGGTGTGTGTGTGTGTTGGTGTGTGTGTTGGTGTGTGTGTGTTGGTGTGTGTGTGTGTGTTGGTGTGTGTGTGTGTGTGTTGGTTTGTGTGTGTTGGTGGGTGTGTGTTGGTGTGTGGTGGTGTGTGTGTGTGTTGGTGTGTGTGTGTGTGTGTTGGTGTGTGTGTTGGTGTGTGTGTGTGTGTTGGTGTGTGTGTTGGTGTGTGTGTGTGTTGGTGTGTGTGTGTTGGTGTGTGTGTGTTGGTGTGTGTGTGTTGGTGTGTGTGTTGGTGTGTGTGTGTGTTGGTGTGTGTGTGTGTTGGTGTGTGTGTGTTGGTGTGTGTGTGTTGGTGTGTGTGTGTGTGTTGGTGTGTGTGTGTTGGTGTGTGTTGGTGTGTGTTGGTGTGTGTGTTGGTGTGTGTTGTGTGTGTGTGTGTTGGTGTGTGTGTGTGTGTGTTGGTGTGTGTGTGTGTGTGCGTGTTGGTGTGTGCGTGTTGGTGTGTTGGTGTGTGTGTTGGTGTGCGCGTGTCTCTCTCTCTCGAAGAAAAGTGTTTCGTAATAATTCACGACCGCGAATGATTTTACGTGTTATTATTTTTGTTTGTGTGTGTGTGTGCTAAACGTCCGGCCCGAGTCTCTCGTCACTTTCACGGCTTGCATTGGAATTCTCGGTGGGATTCGTCGTCTTAGGTAGGCGCATGCGTGTTCGTATCATTTGAGTAGGGAGCCGGAGTGTGATGAAAACCGTCACCCGTGCCTGGGGAAAACTCGACCTGCGAAGGCCAAGCTACGTGCCGAACCTAGTTGCTGTACTGCTGACAAAGAGACCAGCTCGCAGACCCTTGAGGGATTATTAGGTGGCTCGCATATTTGACGAATGCAATCCCAACGTGAAGCCACCAACCCCCACCTCCCGAGTCTCAGGAATCGGAATTCGGTATTTACACTGGAGGAATCCAATGCACTATAAAGCTCTTTTTCGCAGATGTCCATTGGAGGCTGGTCATAATGATACAACAACAAACAATACAACACATATTCTTAGCTCTTTCGGTAAAGTCACGTTGAAGGGGGACAATAATAATATATATAAAGCAATAAAAATTCTCACGACGTTTCGACCATAACACAAACGGTCAGCATCACACCTGATGACGACCGTTTGTGTTATGGTCGAAACTTCGTGAGAATTTTTTATTGCTTTATATATATTTACTGCAGTCACGAAAGCTTTAAATCAAAATACAACGCATGATAGGAGTGCAAAGTATAGGAAAAGTAAGGAAATCACTAAAGCCTATTAACTCTGTTGTATCCTCAAATCTTGTAGCTCAATTTTAACCCACTTCCTAATGTGGTATCGACTGCAAACTTGGTATATACTTATGTCATACTGATGACAATACTATATTCTATCATAAAAAATGTTTTTAAACAATCTTTTTTACATGTTATGTTTCGGCTTGGGTGTAATAATTGTCCACGCTCAACTCAGGTTGGCTGTACATCACCACGGTCCCCTTACGTTGTGGCAAACTTCGGGGCCACTTCCCGGAGCCGTGGAGTTCTTCCATTGCTAGTAGGGTACATGTCATTAAAGCGTCTTTTAAAAAAAAAAGTTTTTTTATATATATATTACTTATTTATTTTCAGAAGCGACTGGGCCATGAGCCGTCCCCAACAACGCCCCTCGCAGGTGGGAGCCTTGCTCACGGGCAAGGCTCAAAGGGAGGGCATAGACGGGCGGGGGTCCCAGTGGCCATCCGAGCAGTTCCTCGCGTTGTCTGTACGTTACGTATGTTGTCGAAATTATTTTGCACCGTACGTTAGCCGACCGTCCTAATCGGAGGTGTGGGGCATCGCAAGTGCATCAACACACCTCTGATATCAGTATCAGTGGTCGTCCTCAGGAGAGAGCCTGACCACAATCCGAACGTGGAATTTATACCATTTGCTCGGGACTGTCAATTTAAATGATTGGTCCACGATCACTTAAACAAATGGACACTTTGTTAATACCACTGTCACGAATAATGACCGTGGCAGCCAAGGAGCTGTATACGTAAATGTGTACATGTCCACTGACACCTTTCATCACCATTTTGCAGGCACGATGGTCGGCGTTGTGGTGGTGGGTGTTGGCATGGCTGGCAGGGTGCGAATCCATGACCTCGGCACCCCGGACCGGCCAGGAGAGATACAAGATCTTCACATTGTTGGATTTGTCTCACGGTAATTGCATAACGTTGCATTTGCTATAAAACGTATTGTGCCCACTATTACAATTCAGTCATCCATAACCGTTGGTCCTGATTGTGTTAACATGTCAATAAGTTAATAACAAGCATTTAAATGAGTGCGCTGTATCATTGAATGGTTTCCTCGTAGGAAGGCAAGGTTGCATATCCTCATCTCTTAACTAATCCAGACAAGCAGAAGGGTATGGTAAATTCTTAGAGTTCTTTCCCAGCACAGGTGTGCAGTTCTATGCATGGTAAATAATTTAAGAGCAATGCATGCATATATTAAATATGCATGAAATATTATATATTGTTGTGATATTTGAAAAGCAAGAGTTGAATAATGGTGCCAATTTTTTTACATTTCCCACCATATGACACTTTAAATAAACGTATGATATATTTTTGCTGGTCACTTGCAATGCTTATATTTTCGTCGTCTGACAGTGTGACTTTGTATTGTTACAATTTGCATGCTCTTGTGCTGGCTAAGGCAAGAGCTTGGGGAGATCAATGGAGTACGGCAGATCTCGCTGGAGGATGCCCTGTCCAGCCCAGAGGTTCAGGCAGTCATCATCTGCACGGAGAATCAGAGGCATGAGGAACTTGTGCGCAGGAGCCTGAGTGCCGGCAAGCACGTGTGTGTGGAGTATCCCCTTGCACTGTCTGCCAGCACTGCCCAGGAGCTATTTATGCTCGCCGACACTGTGGGTGAGGACCGCTCTTTATGTTTAGTTGTCCTTCCCCTGCATCTCCGATTAGCACGTTTGGAATCTGATCGATTGATTGCTTCTGTGGAAAGGTGTCTTTTATACAGGTAACAAGCTGAGATTAGGAGCACTCCCTTTTCAGAGTGTGCTCCTAATCTCAGCTCGTTACCTGAAATCTTTCTGATTGAGCGGGGGTCAAATACTAATTTCCCTCATTAAAATGCAAATCGATTTATAACATTTTTGACATGCGTTTTTCTGGATTTTGTTATTGTTATTCTGTCTCTCACTGTTCAAATAAACATACCATTAAAATTATAGACTGATAATTTCTTTGTCAGTGGGCAAACGTACAAAATCAGCAGGGGATCAAATACCTTTTTTCCCTCATTGTATGTGAGTGTGTGCTGGTGTCGCTGTTAAAATAACTAGTAAGTAATCGTATTTATGAAGAAATAAAAAATAGGTTTGACCCTTTTTGGCAATTAAACAGGTGTTAAGATATTCAACCACCAAATAGAAACATTTTGCAAGGAAACATTTAACTCTATCCTAATTGTGAGTGTTTTTTTTGTAACAGCAAGCATGTACTGTGGTGCATGACACAGGCCATTGAATGAATGATTGCACATTGTCAGTATTTTATCATCCACCAATATTTTTGCTTGAACTTTTAGTCAAAAGTGTGAGGTGCACAGTTTTATGTCTGTATTTCTTAACATCACGAGCAAAAGCATAAAGTTGAGTGCTGCAAACATAATTCACACCCATATTCTTTGGGTCTATTGGGTAAAGTCACGTAGGTGTGCGAGGTTTCTTAACATTTTCACCTACGTGACTTTACCCAATAGAACCAAAGAGTATGGATCCTAGCAGTCACGAAAGCTTTAAATCTAGAATAATTCACAATCATTGCTCAAGAGATAAAATGCCACACTGGACAGATATTAATCTAGGTTATTTCTAAAATTGAAAAAAAAAACACTGTTGCAAGTGTCATTTTAAATGTGACACCATTGAATCCCTTGTTATTTTTTTAAATCATTGTTCATGGTGTTCTATCAAGTTTTAAATATTGATTGCCATGTGGATCATATAGCCGGGTGTGGTGGTGCATGTCACCTTCCATCCAGCACCGTGGTGTCCAGGGTTAGTGGACCACGGAGGTTGGTGAAATGCCTAAACCAACTGGCTGTTAAGTGGTTAGGAGATATAGCAAATGGATTGTGAAGCTATGTTAACGTTTTTAGTGTATGTGTGGGTTTTCTCTGGGTAATAGAATAACAACCACAAAACAATTATTAATGTGGTATTAACCAAACATCGCAATGCAGGACATTCGTGAAAATAAGTCAAATGAGGCCATTCTGATAAAAAAGTGCCATTACAGGACAATTATTCACAGAATAAACTAACTTATTTGTGCGAGGTTTCTTAACATAAAACATACATTTATTGGATCGTGTGTCTATTACTCCTGTGTAGACCTCGAACATGTCATATAAGGCTAATGTAATTAATAAAGCACATTCTTGCATGGTAGCATTGGCAATGAGTGTTGAATGGTCCATGTTATCCCTTTCTATCGCACAGGCAAGGTGCTGCATGTAGAGCACATTGAGTTGCTCACCTCCCAGTACAAGATGCTCAAGCAACAGGTGGCAGGACGGGAGCCACAAGAGGGACATCTGCACTTCACCGGTAACACTCTTCTGCTACATTAGTCTCGAGACTGAAATTGTTATTATGACAGGCAGTTCATGACAGTATGGAGTGGAGTTGAGGCTTGACCTTAGGAAATTTGTTTGCTTTGGTATATTTTGAGAGATAACAGAGAGAGTCTGATCGTGCATATTTGGAAGTAACTATGCATCAATTAATCCAATAAAATCTGTTCTTCCTATCAAGATACATGCATCGAATCACGTGATAATTATTTTGGACTCATAAGTTGTATGTAATGAGTTCACTTGACCCCCTTTAACAATACCACAATGTTTAAATATTTGTTTGAATCGTAATCCTGAATCTTAACAATTCCTTCCAACATGAGGAGTGGGGCTCCTTATAGACTTGGTTCTTAACTTCTCAGGTATACAAGGATTATCTCTCGTGGCTGTACTTTTGAGGATGATTATTAATATTACAAATTAGTTTAAAATGCATTGGTCTCTCTGAATCCACATCGGGCAGTGAGTGTTGTTTTTCTGGTGGTTTGTGTGACTAAAAGGCAAGCCATTGTGTGAGAAGAAGGCTGGCTTCTTGGCATTCAGTGGGGTGACACGGGTCACCTGGTTTGTTGACCTGTTTGGGGAGCTCTCTGTGGAAAAGGCCATGTTAGAGGAACGTCCTGAGCAGCAGAACACGAAGCTCACTGCCCACCTACTCACTGCAAACAACAAGTAAGGAAACAGCCTTAATCTTAATTTGAGGTCACATCAAGCCTGTGTTTTAGTCAAAAGATACTGCTATTCCTGTAGCCTTCTATGCTACATAAATAGATATAACCATTGGTGTTTTAGAGTGCTTTATTCTTCACAGATAGGTTGGGTATTATCTGAAAGATTTATGCTGTACGGTTCAATGGATTATATGCGGTGAATGTTAAAGGGTATCTAGTCCTCAAAGAGCATTCCATTTATATAAAAAATAGTACTTTTCCTAAATTGAATTATTCGACCTTGACTTTGGCACACAATGGTATGCACTTACAAAAATGTATTCGACAATTGGTGAAATTTGGTTTGTGATTCACAGCATGATTGACCTTCAGGTAGACTTTTACCTCACTGGTAATTGTGTCAATCATCTGGGAAGCCTCACAAACAGCGTTAACTAAGAGGGGGCATAGTTACCCTTCAAGCCTTCTCCATTGCCGATCGTAATATACTCGGGACAGGACCTAGACCCCACCACTGAGGCCCATTCTTCTTGACCCAATTGACCAGTAATTAACCCATGCTGGCAGCATTGTGGGCTCAAATGAGTTTAATGGAGAAGTTGATCAAAGTGAGAAGTTGATCAAAGTGAGCCACACAGTGTAGATTCGAGTCTGACGTTTTTGCCTGATGGTAGGTGGCTGACGTGGGTGGAGGAGCGTGGCGAGGGGCTGAGGCGCTCCAAGCAGATGCGGATCAGCTTCACTGATGGCAGCTGCATGGAATCGCTGCCGCAAGGGCCGGGCGGGCCTGAGTTCCTCTTCATGCAGGACTTGGGCCTCTTTGCACGAAAGCTGCGTGCAGGAGCCCCCTTCCCAGACGGCGAGCACGCCGAGCGCCGTCGCATCCTGCACTGTTTGCAGCTTGCCACTGACATCCAGCGCCACTGCATGCAGCCAGCGTAACATGTCGCTCATGGGCTTTAACGAATATATCTAATTCACACACATTGTCCGTGGCTCTTTTGGTAATTTCACATGACTGATGCTGTTGAATAATTGGATGGTTATAATTTTTTTTTTTAATATTAACATTTATCAAAATATTAATTGATATTCTATGGGTTAATAGTGGAGATGGATTAAAGGTGTTAAGGGGCTAGTGCCCTCAATATGAAATGCATTACTTTTTAATACATTTATAAATGAATTCATTTAAATATTATGATAATTGCTTTTAATTATTATTGATCAATTTAAACCGGTAATTATGTCATTATCCGCTGAAGCATGACACGATCATGGAGGATTATTACCAGTCAATTATTGCACATGTAATAAAGGACGATTATGCATATGATAAGGATCAACTTATGCATATGTAATGACAGGGTGACACCTGCTGGCCTGGAAGGGGAATCACGGGCACGGTTAAGTAACAACCAATCAGAGAAGGAGGTGTATCTGGGGCAAAGGTATAAGGTGGGGCTAGCCGAGATACAACTAGATTTGATGCTTTCGTGACTGCAGGAATTAATCTTTGTGTTTTTTCGGTAAAGTCACATAGAAATAAGAACAATAATAAAATTACATAATATACGACGTTTCGATTGCAACACAAGCAATCATCATCAGGTAAAGGAAACATAACCGCAGATATATATATATACAGACCTTAGGTAGAGGGAATTAACACAGATATACCAGGGGATACAGAGAGACGGAACATCACACTAAATCAAACGGGGTTTAGCAAAATTTGGAAACTATATAAAGCAACACAGACGGTCGGTTAAAACACAATTAACGCATGGTTTGGTTGAATACGCTGTTTCAAAGATTGTTAAATTGTAGGTTAAGTGTGAAGTTTAAGATGGTGATGGAATACTTACCGTAGAGAGACCTATGGGGGGAGACACGCGCACAGTTAAGAAGTAAAGCAACTCTGTACCGAGGCTTTAAATAGCTAGAAATGGAGGGGCTGGGACTTATAGACAATGGGACACAAATTGGCATGATATAAGTTGTCAGGCACACAGAGAGGGGGCGCAGCAGCGCACACTTAGAGGCACCCAGGTACACAACTATATGTAGAGACAACACAGCGACATAAATCCAATTCAAGACACAAGGCAGGCACACCAGCAGAGAACACAAAGAATAGATTTCATACCTCCCCGAAGAGGTGGTTCAAACTAGATTTGATGCTTTCGTGACTGCAAGAATTAATCTTTGTTTTTTTCGGTAAAGTCACGTAGAAATAATAAAATTACATAATATACGACGTTTCAATTGCAACACAAGCAATCATCATCAGGTAGAGGAAACACATAACAGATATATACAGACCTTAAGTAGAGGGATTTATGTCGCTGTGTTGTCTCTACTTATAGTTGTGTACCTGGGTGCCTCTAAGTGTGCGCTGCTGTGCCCCCTCTTTCGTGAGTGCAGGGATTCATATTCTTGGTTCTTTTGCTAAAGTCACGTAGAAGGGAAATAATAAAATAATAAAAAGAGAACAATAAAATTATCACGACGTTTCGATGGCAACACAAGCAATCATCATCGGGTGTGAAACACCACAGCACCATCAGGTGAAAACACCTGATGATGATTGCTTGTGTTGCAATCGAAACGTATTTTATGTATTTTTCTTATTTCTACGTGACTTTACCGAATTAAACTAAGATTGCTAGCCGAGATACTCCGAGAACCTGCTCGAAGGTTCCACGAGAGGGCGTGGCCGGAGGCAGGGCCTAGCCACGCCTGGGGGTATATAAGGGGGAGCCGGACCCGGGGCTCGGGGCTCGTGTGTGGGGTCTTGGGTCCTGGCTGCGTCGCTGCTCGCCGACATCTCTCTCCGTCATCCGGCCACGTGGAAGATCTGCGTGACTTCACTCGCCATCATCGCCACGCCGCCATGCAGCGGCGTAGCCGAGTGAGGGTGATGGGACCATGCCGAGTGATCGGCTGTGCGTAGCCAGTAGAGACGTTAATATCTAAGTGTTGTACTCAGTGTGAGGAAGAATAAGTGTTGGCCTGTGTTGTGTTTAGTGTGAGTAATGAAGAAGTACCCTCTACACGATGTGTCGCGGAAGTCGCTCATTACACATGATCAGGAGCAATTATCGATTAGCATAACTAAGTTCCGACATTCATTCAAGATCAATTCGTAAATTTAATAACTCCATAGTTTCAAAATAATCACAAATAGCATTTTTTTTTACTTGTAAGTTGTTTAGGGGTATGTTATGAATCTTGATAATATATATTATTCTCGCTTATTAATCATAGCTCATTAAGTCAGGTCTCAAAATTCAGATCTCACCGCAAGGATATAGTTATTGAAATTGAGAAATATGATGCATTGAGAGCCGATTTTGATATCGGCTCTCAATGACAGCCAAAACCATACTTATGTAGTGATTGTAGCATCACTACTGTGTACACACGCACACGTGTGGCGTCACTATGTGGGGGAGCGTCACTACCACGCGGGTCTACACACACATGACGTCATCCCGGCTGGAGGCGGGAATGACGTCAGGGCCGATTCTGGACTCGGGAGGCCACGGGGGTGGTGTGAGGCCGTGGCACTCTGTGACCCCGGCTGGACACGTGACCGGATCCCAGTGGGGGCCGGGGGCCCAGGGGGCACCTCGGTGGGCACGTGGGCAGCAGGGGGGCTTCGAGAGGGTTCTCGAAGGGAGGCGTGGCCGGGGTGGGGCCCGGGCACGCCGAGGCCCATATAAGCAGCCTCCTCACGAGGTTCGAGGCTGCCCGTATCAAGAATGAAGATGCATCGTGAAGACGCCAAGAAGAGTCAAGCCTCCAGTCAGCGGACCTGGCAGTAGCCCACCTGGCTGGGTCACGCTTGAGTATCTGTGTGTGTTAGAGTAAGTCGGTGGTCACCACCCTATGCGTAATGTAAGAGTTAACTGTTGTGTTCAGTAATAAATGAGTGTTGGCTCCCAAGAAGTTGTGTGCGCCTAAATTAGAACCCACTACACTTATAGTGGAACTACAGTACATAAGCAAATGTATACATATTCGTAAATTCCTACTAAATGGCTAGAAAAGCATTAATGATCAGATGTCAAGATTGTACGATAAAAAAATGTTACTATGTCTTCACACCTTGTACAATGTCAAGTCAAGTTGACTTGGCAACACTGATGGTAAAAAGGAAGGGGTTATAACTGAGTGATGTCCACTCACAGACACAACTGTTACAGTTCAAAAGATGTACAATATTTAATTCACCCTTGATACTGAAGAGTACTCATTTACTAAGGAAAATTGCTTAAGCCACAATGAGTATTTGCCAACAATCACCTGATACCCTTTAGCTTACCACAGTACAACATAGTAAATTCCTTAGCCTGGCAATGGCATGTTACCTTCTGAATTAATCCTTACTGCATGAGAAAAGACTGTATAAAGTGAACAATATTCCTCTGACACACAACTTGTATCACGATAATATTTTGGTTGATAACGAGTTCCACCCGGGGTTCTGCCTTGGCGAGAGACCCAAAATATATGGTTGCTTACAAGTGTAGTGGGTTCACGGGACACGGAGACGGTGAAGTAGAGGCAGTACTATTTATTCAAAGCTTGGCAGGTTTACACTGAGAAAGGGTAACGGCCCCTTCATGCATATACACACTGGGACACCCTCTAGGCTAACAACCACTCTACTCCCAGTTCCTCCGCTACAGGCTCTAGAGGAGGCTATCTGACCTGGCCCTGGTCATGGCACAGGTCATGGCACCCAACCAGACAGACCGACCCTTAAAAGTACTCCGGCTCTGAGGCTCTGGGGCCGCACCACCGGCTTGCCCTGCCGGCCCTGAAAAACGCAGCGGTCAGGGTAGTTCCAGGGTCTATCTAGCCGGCCTTCCTTCTTCACTGGTTCTTCACTCTCGGCTTACCCCAACACTCTGCCCCGAGCTCTTTGGCTCCCTGCCCTTTATACCAATACACCACTGAGGGGCGGGACTGTAGCGGACGTGTTTGTGGCCACCACTATGTGACCGTGTGTTCCCTTCCCGCAACACCCCTACATCACCCCCTCCTGTACAGCCCGCAGCCGTCCCGGCTGCAACAATACTGAACAATAAACAACGCAACAAAAACCCTGAACCGTGCGTGCCTCATAACAACCGAATGCCCCAACAAATAACCCAACCCACCTATACAAATATACACTGTATACAGAATATACACCCCCCCACATTCAACCGGAATCACCCGTCGGCGCAGCAAAAGGAGACATAACAGGTAAGTAGATACAGTGTGAACAGAACAAGTGCAACAAGGAGGCAACGTTACAAAAACCGGCGCGTTTTGGCGCGAGTCCGTTTGGCGGGTCCATCGTAGGGGGCAAAGCCGGTCGGGCCGGTGGTGGGTGCTGTCCGTTCGGGTGCGCAACCCTCCGGCATCCTGGGAGGGCAATCGCCGTCCCCGCCGGGTGGCGCGGGCAGCCGGGAGGGCGTCATTCTCGAGGCACCTGAAGATGTAACAGTTAGTGGCAGATCAGGGGCAGGCGGCGAAGTCGCCGTCGGGGGTCTGCGGACACATCACATGCCCGGCCTTTGTTATGTGGTGGAGGAACGCGTGGCGCCACAAACGGCTTCAGGCGCGAGGGGTGTACATACCAGCGACGTTTCCCCCATTGAATACGAATACACTGTGGCCGCATGACGTGCACAATTTCCAAGGGACCCCTCCATGGCCGCAGCAATTTTGGCGAAGTTGCCAACGGCACTTGAGGGCAGTGCAGCCAGGCTCTGTCGCCCGGGCTCCATGCATGTGTGCACGACTGGTACGATCGCACCCTCTCGTTAGCCTTCTGTCGGGAATTTGAGAATAGGGCGGCTGCCTCTCACGTCTCGGTCAATCTCAGGATATTAAATTTGACATGGTCGCCCAATTTCGATTTTGCGTTTGATTTGGAGACCCGCAGCTGAGTCTCAATAGGTGGATGAACATCACGGCCATACATAAAAAAGAATGGCCAGAATCCGGTCGCCGCGTGAGGAGCCATCCTGTAGGCAGCCAAAACCCCCGGGATTTGAAGGTCCCAATCGGTCTGGGAGTCACACACTTGGTGACACCCACTAGGCTAACAGCCTAACCACTCTACTCCCAGTTCCTCCGCTACAGGCGCTAGAGGAGGCTATCTGACCTGGTCATGGCACAGGTCACGGCACCCAACCAGACAGACCGACCCTTTAAAGGGCTCCGGCTCTGACGCTCTGGGGCCGCACCACTGGCTTGCCCTTCCAGCCCTGAAAAGGGCAGTGGTCAGGGTAGTCCTAGGGTCTATCTAGCCGGCCTTCCTTATTCACTGGTTCT